GTAAAGATGTGTAAAAAACTTCTTTAAACCTTTGATATAAGAGCTCGAAATTTAGTTAAGTTGTTTTATAATATTTATGTTATATTCTTTTGTCAAATTTGTACATTGTTCGATTTAATATTTCGCCATTAAATTCGACTTACTTTATTTGTTAAACTATATTCCAAACTTATAACCTCCTCGTATGGTTTGGAGGCTAAAACTTAGGTACTTAAGCTACAGCCAGTTTTGCAAATAATTTGAACACAAATTTGTGTTATTTTGTTAATAGGCTTTGAAAAGTGACTTCCAAAGTTGATTGACACATTAGAAAACTACATTTAAGTATGAAATTTCTATTGGTTTTAATTGAAGATGAATTTTGTTCATGAATGTTAAATTTTACAAGCTTTTGTATCCTTTTTTTGCCTGTCTTATGCCTCTATTGGAATACAAATATACCTAGTTAGACTACAATTTCTGACAGCGGCAAACGGGTTAACTGAATCCGGGTCTTTAAACTTTTAAAACAGTTAGTTTTGCCACCAAAAGAAGCTACTAAAAATATAATAATAACTTCACTAAATCTGACAGTTTGGTAATTGGTACAATCCTTGCCATTCCCCACTTTAGGCCTGTTTCCTTTCTCTTAGCAGGGGACGAAAACTACATATATAATTTTTCAAAGTGTATGCGACGAGCTGTAAAATGTCGGCTAATGCTTTTTACTGTGGGGGTGGCTTGCTGCTTGTCTGCTGTTAGATTTTACGATATAAAAACAAGCGTTTATGAACATTTCACAAAATCGGACAATACGCACTTAAACATACATACATTTGTATGTACGTGTGAGTACATAAACAGTACACATGTAGTGCTTACATACAAGGTTTATTTATCTTTCAAATTAGAGAGTGGCAGGAGGCCATAATTTGCCGGCATTCTTGGGCAATTTTCGGATTTGTAGCTGTTGCTGAAATCTACATAGCCATGTGTGGAGCTATCGTGGGTGAGTAAATAGATGGCTTGTTTATGGCCCAATACGTGGAGCTGATAAGCGTTTCGGCTATTTTATGGCTGACACACGCTCGCCGTTAGTTTTTCCTCTTTCTGTCATGCTTGGCCAGAATCAGGCTAAAAATTTGGTCGTTTGTTCGTTCGGTATAGGTTTCACCGAACAAAATGGAAAGCTTTTCCAATTATGCAAATTAAAAAGTATTTCATGCGCCACAAAAAATAACGAGCATGAACATTTTAATTGAATGAGAGGAAAAAACCCCCAGCTGTGCCAACAACTCCAATTCACTTTTCAATGCACACACAGCCTCATTAAGTTTTGCCTCTGCTTTGTAGTTGTTGTTTGCGTTTCCTTACAAATTTAGAAGTAAGAAGAACACACGGATGCGTGTATGCAAAGAAAGCGGCCCCAAGTCAAAAACTGAACAGAAAAGTGTAAACAGCGCGAGCGGCAGGGCAGTTGGCAAAAGGGGAGGGGCTGCCAAGTACGGAGAGGGGTGGGGGAATCGGAGGCTAGCTGCAGGTGCAACAGCTGGAAAAAAACTAGAGCCAATGAACAGTCGAGTACTGCGGCGTCGGCAGCCCGCAGGGCAAAAGTTGACAGCAACTACACAAATCATTAAATATACACACGAATACGAATTCTTGCACACATGCGAAGAGAAGTGTGTATGTGTGTGCGTAGACAGCCCCTAGTGTGGCTTCTTATGTGCTGCGGTATGGGCTGAATTTTAACTCCTGCAGCGCTTTAAGAGGAAAGATACCTGAAAACTTTTATAACTTCTTTAGCAACATTAGACATAGTAATAGCAGTAGTAAATAGTAATGAAAAACTTCGAAAAAGTGCTGGTCTGATCCACAAATAATTATATTTCATATTTATTTGTTGTTTTCTATATCTTTATTAACAAACAAGAGAGGGATGGTTGATTCGAGTGGGCTCAGAAAAAAAAACAAAACTTGATCTGCCTAGGGCTGTGGGGAACCCGAATACCAAGATTGGTTATTCTAGCTCTTTTGTTTGCTAAAATTATTGCGCTCCTACAGACAGACGGACGCTGGACATGACTATATCGACTCGTCTTGTCATACTGATCAAGAATATATATATTTTTAGGCCTGTCACGCCTACTTCTATATGTCATACACATTCGCACTAAACTAGTACACCCTTTAGCCTTTAGGTAAAGAGGAAAAAAAAACCCTATTACAAACAGAGAATTAGACCTATTTATATTAATGTATTTGTTGAACCTGCTAACAATGAAACGTTACTACACTGATATAAGCAAGCAATTTCCCTATAGCGAGTAATGATTTCCCCTTTTCCATTTACAGTGTTTACATTATTTAAACACCTTCGGACATAGGTATAATGTATGTAAGTACTTGTCGCTGTAACAACAAGTTTGTAAAATCTTGTGGTTTGTGGGACACATGTATTACTTTTTATCGTATTTCGAAATACATTGCACGTAGCTGGCGAGCATTCTTCCCATTTTATTTATGTTTTTTCTATTTGCCGAAACGTTTGTATGTTGCTTAAACGTTATAGATCGCAGTCGGTAAGGCTAAGAAAAAGGTAAATAAAAAGTGAACAAAAAATGCGCGATTTCGATAAGAAAAATATGTAACTATAAAAACTGATAAAAACCGTCAAGGGGCTCTTTTGGAAAATGGCTGCATTTTGTCGCTGCCCAAGGGGATTTTTTTTTATTTTGGTAATCTTGATAGGCAGAAGTTGGAAGAGAAGCACTCGCATTGTGGTGTTTGTTTGTTTGTTTGGAAGCAACAACAACAAAAACTGTCATTGAAACATCAATGCCGTTTGTAATCTAATTTCGTATCTAAATATTAGGTATTCGCTGCAAAAAGATTAAATATATTTGCGCCACTTTTCTGCCGACTGTCGCTGCCACACCCACCCGCGTGCCATGCGAAGCGACAAGCGTAAAATACGAATATAATTCAATAGTTAGTACAAGCAGAGAGTAACGCAAACATGTGTAAATAACAAGCGAGCAACAATAATGTGAAAATATGGAGTGCCTGAGCTGAGTGCCCCAATACCCTATACCATATTGTATATCAGCTTGAATGAAATGGTCGTTTGGAGGCAAATGAAATAGAGTTGGCTTTATTTGTCTGCGTGAGCCCTAAAATTTTGTAAACTAAAAATGCGTCTACCACCAAATGCGAAATTAAACAATGGATTTTCTTTAAATTATTTTGAAAGAATTAGAACAATCTAGAATTTTTATTTACAAATATAGTGAACTGAATTTAATCTTTAATCTAATTTATACCATTTTGTACGATTTCCTTATCTTACAAGATCTTCAAAATATATTAATTTAGAACATTTAGGTGTAAAATTTGCCACACCTTAAAATTATAAAATATTCTGCAAAGCAAGCGTTATTTTATTTATAAATAAATTTATTTAAAATAAATAAAATATTTTCATAGCGCTTGAATAGATTTGATAAACATGTTGAAAATCTTTACAATTTTTGAGCTTTTTAGAGAAATTGTAATCAGCCAAAGTTGAAGAGTACATTTAAAAGTTGCATTTGGTTGCCTTAGAAACATTCTTTTCAAAAAGGCGTTTCAAAATATTTTCTTTTTTAACTTATTGCGATCGAAGAGAGGGTGTGCTATAGAAGACACGCCCGGTTCGTTTAAATGTTACGTTCATTTGAGCGAATTCGTGGTGGTGTGAAATAAATTCAAATGGGCAGATAGGGGTGTGTATGTGTGTGTGTTGTACGTATGTCCATGTGTACGTTTACCTGTGCTATCTCTATTGAACATTATTTTGAATGGAGCGCAAAAAGAGCAGCACGAAAATGTGCCGACAATAAAAAATTCACACGTTTATGTACATACTATACATCTATATGTATGTATGTATGTGTCTATATACTTGCATGTGTATGAACATTTGGACAATGGACAGACTGACTGGCAAACAGACAGAAATAAGCAGGTCGGGAGTGCATTAGCTATTTCATGGTCATTGCCAATGAATAGAGGATTTGACGTGTGAATGCACACCACATAGAACATGCAGCTATAAAAAATAGATACAATCCGATGCGATGCGATGTTTGGCAGCATTAAATGTGCAAAGGCCTCAGTCGACGTCGCAGCGTCTCTGCCGCTGCTGCTGTGGCAAGTGAGTGCACACAGTGGCCGCCGGCAACGGTCAAGCAGCACTCTGGAAAAACAAGTTTTTCGTTTTCATGGGCAAACTTCCATAAAAACTGTGTTGAAAAGAACGTATTTTCAAAGATGAAGAGGCTGGAAAAACAGGATGATGCTTGGCATTAAAGAAAAACGAAATTAATGTGCTGCTTGAAAAGGAACCCAGAAAAACAAAATGCATCTCACTATGAGAATGTGTGTGTACGTGTCTGTGAGGGAGAAGAAACAGGAAAATGTTGACATAGCGACCACATGGCCAGAGCCTCACAACCATGACAGGGAGATGATGAGAGTGCAAGCGAGAAGGTGCAACAAGTTAACGTAATGCAGGCACAGACACAGCAGGGGAACAAATGTGCGCGCAACAGCAACAACAATAATAACAACAACAATCAAAGTAAGCACACTTGAGAGCAAGCAAGGTAACGCAGGGAACTGAGCACAACTTGCGGGTGAGAATTTTTAAGCAGCACTCGTGCTTATTGTTGTTGTTGCGCTCTGCATGTAGGCGGCTACAGTTCTGGGAACATAAGCAACACTTTATACATCAGTATACATGTGTATTTGATTTTATGTATGCATCTACGACTGTTTGTTTTCAGCAATGATTTTGTTGAAATATTCATGAATTGGCGCAATTTGTTTAATTAAACACTTTTACGTGCGTATGTATACAACACGCCCGCGCATTCCATCTTCGAATAACAAAATTCACTGGAGATACTGTTGCTCGCGTTGCGGCTTATTCTTTTACACACTACCCGCCAACAAAAATAAATAAATGTTTCTACACTCACCAATGCCAAATGCCTGCTTAGCATTGCAATCGCTCCACACCGTCATTTTTGTTGTTTTCCTTAACTTTTACCACGCATTCACATACATACACAAACAGATACCGCTACATACATAGATAGGCGGATAGAGTACACTTTCGTTTGCAAATTAAAAAGAAAAGAAAACGACACGCGAAATATGAAATCAGATACAATTAAGTTAAGCAACACGTAGTTGAATTTCGTTTTTTATATTGCCACCGAAAACATTGGCATTCAGCTTTTTTTGATTACTTAATTTCTATGTTTTTTTTTCTATAACAACACACGTTAAAAACATAAAACAATAACATCAACTATTGCACAAGTGCATGAATTTTTTACTCTTTCCATTTAAATTCTATTGCACTTTACGTGTTGTTGTTGTTTCACTTGTGATCCCGTTTTGGGAGTTGGCCGCTGCCGCCACTCGGCATTTAATCTTTGCTCACGCTCCCGCACACACACGCGAGCATTTTGCACTGCGTATAGTTTGCTTACAATTAATTAATTAAATAAAATCAAGCGTGTGCATCACATACACGACCCGCTCTTTTCAACTGTTGCTCGGCTACTGAATTGAGATGATTGTGAATGGAAGGCTGGAGTCAAAACACCGACAGTGTGGCCACTTCATATGGAGCATGCTGCCACACTAATTCAAAAAGAAGTTGCAAAGCAGTCTGGCAGCCATTTCTGGGTTTAAAAATTATATCTGCCGTTTTGATAACTTGTAACTTTTTCAGAACTCCAATATCTAATATGTTTGGGTTAGATATAATATAAGCAATTAAAAGGAAAAACAGGTTATTCTTTAACGCTGCTGATTAATGATCTGTTACCAACAGTATTAACGGACAGTTAAGAAGGGAACACCCATTCCTTTTATACAATTGAAACACCATATAAATAAAATTAAATTGTACATTTTTAATAAAATTAAATAATCAATGTCTGCATTTAAATTGTGCGATTCTCGTACCAAGTACCTAACCGCTGGCAAATCGAGAATTAATTTGTGAAATATTGAAAAAATTACAATTTTTTTGATTTAAATTGTGAAATTTCTGAAAAATAAATACAAATATTGTGGGCGCCATTCTATGCGATTCTCATACGAAGTACCTAAGCGCTGGCAAATCGAGAATTAATTTGTGATATTTTGAAAAAAAAATTAAAAAACTTGTGTCTAAATTTCAGCTTCCTAGCTTTCACCGTTTGAGCTGTGCGTTGATTGCCAATCAGTCAAGTAGGACAAACTGTTTTATATATAGAGATTATGTACAAGTTCTGCTCCAGCGCGCATTATAATTAAGTGAAACATTTAATAAATACAACGATTTTATTTAAGTGCCTAGTGTTGGTAAATGGTAAATGAATTGAATTAGAAAATACAAACAATGGACAAATATAGTAAAACTTGAATTGGAATTGACATAATCAGCAAATGCGATAAAGCATCTTGCGTTGCATTCTGTGCTGCAGTTCGCCGCGACGAATCATCGTATGAATGACTTTCATTACAGTGCGCTCCTCGTACTTTTGTCGCAAGAAATCCTAAGATTGCACATTGGTGAGAAAACGATATTAGATTATGGCGTATGAAGTGCTCACCTGCAGGATGTTCTGCTCCGACACCTGAGAGCCGATGGCAAAACGACGCTTCAGTTGCTTCTCAATACGGTTAAGTGTTTCCTGATCCTCCTCGGTGGTGAAACCTTCAGCTCCAGCCAGACTGCCAGTCATGGCTGCATCCAGAGTAGACACCTGAAACAGACGCAGCGCCTCGTTGACATGCTCATCGGTGGCAAAGGGCAGCAAACGCATTTTGGCCAACGACTCGGATATGCGAATCACAGCCTCGAGCTGACGCACAGTAATCGGAATGCTTAAGCGTTTGTCAGCCGCCTTTTCCTGTTGTCCGGCGCCAGTGCGCATCAAAACATAACGGCTCTTCAGTTTCTCACCGGCAGCTTCACTGAGTCGAGGCCCACAGTGGGTGCGACAATAATGTATGTATTTCTTGAACATGGACAACGAAATCTCGCCCTCTGCCGGCTCTGAAGGTGCCGACTTGTTGGAACTAAGATGCACATTGATAATATGCTTGGCCATCGTTATGTCGCGTGCCTCATCGTGCACGTCCTTGACGATGAATATCATGTCGAAACGCGACAGAATGGTGGGCATAAAATCGATATTATCCTCGCCCTTAGTGTCATCCCAACGACCGAATATGGAGTTCGCCGCTGCCAAAACTGAGCAGCGGGAATTTAAAGTCGTAGTTATACCAGCCTTGGCAATGGATATGGTTTGTTGTTCCATGGCCTCGTGTATGGCAACACGATCATCCTCACGCATTTTATCGAACTCATCAATGCACACAACGCCTCCATCGGCCAGGACCATGGCGCCACCTTCCATGACGAAATTACGCTGCAAAGACGTATTCATTATAAACAAAGCTCCTGATTATGCCGGGTTTACGTATATTCTATACAACCCTTTACTTAAATTAGCTCCACTTACTGTATGCGGATCCTTCATTACCGATGCTGTTAAGCCGGCCGCGCTGGAACCCTTTCCAGAGGTGTAAACGCCAATTGGGGCGACCCTCTCCACAAATTTCAGCAGCTGGGATTTCGCAGTACCGGGATCACCCAAGAGCAGGACATTAATGTCACCACGGCGGCATAGGCCATCGGGCAAACGCTTTCGTGAACCTCCAAATAGCATGCATGTAATGGCCTTTTTAATGTCATTGGAGCCAAAGATGCTGGGCGCCAATGATTGCGACAAGCGCTCATATATGTCACCAGAGGCAGCCATGCGGCGAAAAGCTTCCTCTTCATCAGATGTAATATTACTATAGCGTGAAATGGCACCAGCGCCTTCTGTATCCACAGTTATACCCACTACACGCATGTAGGGCGCGCGCACACCAACCACGGCTTTTTCACGCCCGTCATGGCGGGATGGCTTGCCTACCTTGCGAATAGAATAAATGCCTTGGATGAGGACGCGATTTCCGGGCACAACACGTTCGCAAAGCGAGCGATCGCAGAAGAGCTGCAGATGCCGAGGAATCTCGCCCTGTGGCACAAAATCAGGCAATTCCTGCAGCTTAAGCGTTTGAAAGTCAACACATTTGCACTTGTCCGGCATTATGAAAAACGGATCGAGGGGGCACTTAGGGCGTCCCGCTTGCTCCGCTGTGCACTTCCGCGGCAAGGCATATCCCTCCAGGCCAGGATTAACTTTCAGATTCGGAATCACTGTGCTGCACGATCGACACATAATGGACATGCGAGTGGCCTTAGCGCGAATGCCGGATGCAGCCACAATTATACCGGCAATTTTTACCAGACGCGATACGCTGTCCGACTTCAGTTCACGAATATTTGTTGGATTGGCGCTGGAAGAGAGTAGAATTTGGATATCATGCATGTGCTCCTCGTGTTCGGGACGAGGTGCAGTTATTTCATCGGCCACCTCTCGCGCAGCTTCTTCAAAGATTTGCAAGTGCTCCGTGGGCTGCTTATTTAGCTTATCCGCCAGTGTCTCGTCAAAGCCGACCACATCCTCCATTTCGACTTCCAGAAAGTAACGCCCATTAAGGTAATTGCGCTTTAGGGTATCGCTGCAAATGAACGCAAATAATATAGCCGATTTCACCAAATTAAATTAAATGTTTTTACCGGTATTTATAGAAGAAATTGTCTTCATTGAAAGTGCGCAGGAACTCCTTGTACTTTTTCTTTACGGCCTGCAAACTGATTTGGGCCCCATCCTGCTGCTGATCACCTCCAAAATTATCAGAAAAGAATACACCAGCTTCATCAAATCCCTCCATTGTTATGGTTTTTAAACGCAGACACCAGAAACTGAACTTCCTTAACAAGAGAATTTTAGTGCGTTCGCTGAATGAATGCACGCCACAAAACCGCCTTTGCGCGCGCAAATTAGAGCTACAACATATGTTTGAATATCGATACCACATAAATTACGTTAATCGATGATTGGTGGCTTGGTTAAGATAACAGCGCGTTGGCTGACATCACATCTAACAAGCAATACATTCAGGGCTGGCGGATTACGTGAACTTTCTGTCATGGTAAAAACAATCCAGAATCATCAGCCAGAAGTTAGACTATGTATATAAATATAAAAATGAAGTACGTATTGTAGTTGAATTAGATAAAATATTTGGATATCGTTTCAGCGTAAACTCCAATTTTTACGTATGTATGTAATTTAATGGAACCTATTTGTAAATGATGCCGAATTTATTTAAGAAAACAGTTCCCAATGATCGCAAACCGTGGATTTGGATCTAGATTTAATCGGGTCGCTGAGCCACCTTCCTTTTTGTGGTCTCAGAATGCCAACCCATTGTGTTTAATGAACAAAATAATTGCAGGACTAAAATAACTAAAGGCATCGATTAGTTCCGTAGTTCAATAAAATGACCTCGTAAATGGAACTAGTTCGGTCGAGACTCTAATACACATGTATGCATGTTTGTACTTATATATTTTACATTTGCTACGCGCCATTTTTGCGGACTTAGTTATTTTACAGGAAACGTGAAATTGCAGTGTATATTAAATTTTTTCATTGTTCGCAGTCATTCTTTAAGTATACACACAGTATATGTAGTTGGTGCTTCAAAGTACAGTGAAATATTGTGAAATTCTTGTGACGGCAACGAACAAAGGAGCCTGACGATTAAGTGAATTTATGTTTATATTAACTGACCACCGCTGTCATTAGCAAGCAATCAAAATGTTTGGCGGAACTAAACCCACCTTCGGAGCTGGTGCAAGCAACACAGGATTTGGCACCTTTAGCAACACACCAACAACATTTGGGCAGTCTGCGTTTGGGAAGCCAGCCACGCCTGCCTTTGGTGCAGCACCAGCATTTGGAGCACAACCCGCCCAACCTTCAATGTTTGGCACGACCGCGACAGCCACTCAGCCGGCCGGTGGACTTTTTGGAAACCCAACTACAAGCGGTGCCTTTGGCAGCAATACAACAACGGCAGCTCCCACTACATTTGGAGGTTAGAGTCGAATTTGACTGCAGAAGATTGTGATATAAAGCTCATAATGTTGTTTAATTCGTTTTAGCCGGATTTTCGCAACCACAGCAAAATTCGAACATTTTTGGAGCTGCACAAAATACAACAAATACCTCGCTCTTTGGTCAGGCAGCCGCACCCGCATTATTTGGCGCAGCCAAACCTACAGGATTGGGTTTACCCGCCTTTGGGCAGACAGCAGCAGCGCAGCCACCGCAGTCTTTATTTGGTCAACCGCCAGCATCGACGAGCACCTCAGGATTTGGCACTTTCGGCCAGGCAGCACCTACGACAACAAATGTATTTGGAAGCGGCACAGCTTCGGCATTCGGGCAACCTCAATCTGCTGTGGGCGCCTCAACTGTAAATTCAGGCTCGTCGTTGGTCAAGTATCAACCTACGATTGGCACAGATACTCTAATGAAGGGGGGCCAACCTAACAATGTCAATACAAAGCAACACTGCATAACGGCCATGAAGGAGTACGAGCAGAAATCGTTGGAGGAACTGCGCATGGAGGATTATTTGAGCGGACGCAAGGGGCCGCAGGGGGGTGCGGCTCCAGGCGGCTTTGGCTCCTTTGGCGCGACTGCAGCAGCACAGCCAGCGAGCAGTGGCTTATTTGGTGCTTCCGCCCAACCCAGTACCGGGCTGTTTGGCCAAACTGCTTGCACCGAGAATAAAAGTCTTTTTGGAGCATCAACTTTTGCCCAACCGGCCGGGGCCAGTGCTTTTGGAGCACCAGCACAGCAGAACACCTTTATGCAGAAGCCTTTTGGTGCCACGACTACAACAGGCTTTGGTGCGCCCACCGCTGATAACTCGAATCCCTTCGGCGCGAAACCGGCTTTTGGACAGTCCACAGGACTATTTGGGCAGGCACCCGCAACAAGTGCGGCCCCGGCGTTTGGGCAGACTAACACAGGATTCGGGGGGTTCGGCAGCACAGCAGGCACACAACAAAACACACTATTTGGTGCCACAAATCCAACTGATCCAAATAAACCAGCATTCGGTATTGGCTCGGCTGCACCAGCGACAAGCACAGGATTTGGTGGATTCGGAGCTACAGCAACCAGCACAGCTGGTGGTGGTCTATTTGGCGCTAAGCCAGCCACTAGTTTTGCTACGCCCGCCTTTGGCACTACATCAACTGCTAATACTGGCTTCGGAAACTTCTCCATGAATAACGCCGCTCCTGGAGGTGGTGGCTTGTTCAATTCAAACCTTAATAAGCCAGCTACCTCCGGTTTTGGAGGCTTTGGTACCCAGCAACCTGCACAACCGCTTAATTTCAATGCAGGTAACACGGGTGGCTCACTGTTTGGAAATGCGAACAAACCAGGTGGGCTCTTTGGTGGCACTGGCACCTTGGGTGCGGGAACCGCAACTGGAGGTGGATTGTTTGGTAGCAGCACCGGTGGGTTTGGAACTGGCAACACTTTGGGCAATGCCTTTGGAACAATTGGTGGCAACACCGCACTCTCTGGCTTAGCTAGCGCACAAATGCAACAGCAGGCAACGGTTCCAATTCATAAGCAAATATTGGCGAAGGTTACTTCACCATATGGAGACACACCCATCTTTAAGGATTTAAGACGCGACGATACAGATGCAATTCGTGCTACAAATCCTGCTGCGCAACAAGCGGTTCTGGACCTCAACACAAATCAGTTTAAAATCGATACTAAAAGTACTTCGAATGTTGTTAAAATCAAATCGCTGGGAAACTCATTACACCGCAAGTCGCTGTTCGATGGCCTGGAAGAATTTGATGGCAGTGTGGAGGGTTTTAATCTGAAACCCAATGTGAAACGTCTAATTATTAAACCCAAACCTAAGATAACTCCAGGGGCAGTTGATAGCGTAATCAGCAGCAATAGCAACAACAACACTCCAATCGCATCGCGATCAAAGCCAAACACTCCATCCAAAGATTCCTTCAATTCGGTCATACCCGTGGAACCGGTCAATTCATCTCCCGGTACTGGTTCGCAGCAAATTGCTAACAAGGAAAATGACTCCAGCCGTCGCGAATCCTGGCTGCAGGTGCGTCAACACAATTTGCAGGTTGGCCTTGACAATGCATCACCATTAAACAGCACGCTAACAGAATTGGTTCCACGCAAACCCATTGAGACGTATAGACCGTCAGCAGTAACAAGGGTGTCCGTGTCCACAATACCAGAAAATCCCTTTGAGGATCAAAGCAGTGTCATTGCACGCCTTGATACGGCAAGCTTCTCCACCGAACAGGCCAATGAGAGCTTATTCTCGAACCGTTCCTATGGCCAGGAGGAACGACTGGCCATCGAACCCACCGATGCTGAATGCGAGCCACATCCAACGGGCATCATATTGCGACGTGTAGGCTATTACACAATACCATCATTAGAGGAGCTCAAGTCCTTCTTGGCTGAGGATGGGTCTTGTGTGGTACCCAATTTCACTATAGGACGCGAAGGCTACGGCAATGTTTACTTCGGGAAGGAGATGGATGTGTCCGGCATTAATCTAGATGAAATCGGTAAGTATACATTGTGTGAATTAAAGCAAGTACATACTTCTCTAAACCCAATATCATTCAATTTTTTAGTTCATTTTCGCAACAAGGAGATTATTATTTACCCGGATGATGATAATAAACCACCATTTGGCAGTGGCCTGAATCGCGAGGCTCAGGTCACTTTGGACCAAGTATGGCCGCTCGACAAAACCAAACATGAGCCCATCAAAGATTCCCAACGTCTCATCGAAATGAACTGGGAGGGAAAGTTGCGACGCGTGTGCGATAAGAACGAAACGGACTTCATTGAATATCGGCCTGAGACGGGAAGTTGGGTGTTCCGTGTGAAGCATTTCTCAAAATATGGATTGGATGGTGAAGATATCGAAGACGGCGAGGTGCCTACTGATCCCAAAAAGGCAAAGATGTCCGCACAGACCGGTGCCATTGCTCCGCCTGGCGATAAGATGACTCTGAGTTCGCTGCGACAGGCACAAAAAATTTCGGAGGAAGCAGCCCGTGCCATGGATCCCAAAACATTGGGTGCTGGTATTGCATCCTCTTTTCGGCCCATGGACGATTCAGCTGAATTTATGCTAATGAATAAGACACGTATGTGATATCGTCCAAATATTTATTCTATTTCTGTAGTAACTTGCTTAACCCAAATACACAGAGTTCTTTCAAGGCAATGGATATGGAGACTCTTCATTGTTTGCAATGCCACGCTCTGCAACAAGCCCCACCGCTGCTTTGGCCAAAGAGGTGGATGGCAATGAGCCACACAAAATGCAACTTATGAAATCATCTCTCTTCTTTGGAGATATTGGCAGGGAAGAAGACACGGGTGAGAGTTACATTTACAGTTTACTCTTATATCATATATACTATTAAGAGATTTTATTATTGTTTCCAGAGTCTACAGCTTTTCCAACTACTTTTCGAAACCAGGATTATTATCAACACGATGCACCAATGTGGGAAGACGGAGTTGCCTCAGATTCTTCGAGTCAATTCGATTTTGGACGCAATTCGCCACCCCTTCCGGTTTCATCTTCTGCTTCAGTTGCCAGCATCCTACGTGAAGTAGAATCAGAAGAGGTAGTTACCAAGATCCTCTTATTTGGCAGAGACTTGTTGCAAATGTCACAAATGACAATGACCCTTTTACACTTAATTAAATGCTCAAGAAATTAAACGTTTCTACTTGAAAATTTATTTAATAGATCATTTTAAATTTACAGAGCTCATCGATTGCTGACGAAAGCATCTGCCAGGAAACTGCGAAGCGCGAAGTAGATACCAGCAAACCATTTACATTCATACTGAAACCTAATTTGGCGCCTGTTAAAATAATCGCCTCGATGGTACCTTTGAAACGTTCGCTCGTGTATGCTATGCGCCATAATTGGATAGCCGACTTGGGATTCACATTGGGTCATAGTTTCAAGCTTAGCTTTGGAACAGGCTCTGCACTGATTGTGCCAAATACCTACAATAATTTACGAAGCGCCAAAGAGTGTAAGTGACCGTCGAATGATACATACGTGTCCAATTTAACCAAACCTATTATTCCAACCACAGCAAACGATTTATGTGTGCCAGGCTCTCTCATCTGTCAGCCTCGCGGCAACAACGACTTCTCGCCTACAATACTGCAAGTAGTGCAACTCAATACTGGCAACTCTTATAACAATTTTAAGCCGAGCATTGTGCCCCACCTGGAAGTTGAATTGCGCTATTGTATATCCAATGAAGTGGAGGGCAGCGAGTGCCCCTGGCTGCAGTCAGATGCGGGCACTGACCTCATTGCAAAGCATCTGGACGAGGCCATAAAATTAAAGAATGCCGGAGAGATGGAAACTTATGCCGTTTCAGTTTGGTTACTCCTATATGCTTTGTGGGGTGCTCAAGAAGAGCTGTCTGGGTATGAATCGAGCTCACATTATGTGGTCATGTGTCGACGTAATCTGATGTCCGAGTGGCTGGAGAACACACTGGCAACCAAGGATATGTATTCGAAGAAAACAACTAGTAATAGCTATCTGGCCAACATGTTGGATCTTTTATACTGTCACCGCGTCACCGAAGCCTGTGACTTGGCCTTCAACTATGACGATGGCTTTTTGGCTTTAACATTATCACAGCTGTCTTCTGGTCCAGTGGTGCGTCTTCTACTCGAGGAGCAGTTGCACGCGTGGCAAAAAAGCAAATCGGACAAATATATCACCATTGAACGCCTAAAGATGTTTATGCTGGCGGCTGGAGTTCCCTTGATGCACTCATCACATGGGCCCATTAACATGCTTGAGGACAGCAACTGGATTACAGTGCTGGCACTGCAATTATGGTATTTCACGGCACCCACTTCGTCTATAACTGATGCTTTAATTGAATACGACAAGGCTTTCAATGCCGACGAGTGCTATGCCAACCCACCAACGCCCGCTTACGAAGGATTGTCGAATACCAGCAGTAATCCTGTCTACGATCTGCGTTATCATTTACTGCAATTGTACTCGCACCGCTTGCATCCGCTTGAGAGCTTACTTAATCCCATAACACACACACGGGATCATATGGACTTCCGGCTAAGGTAAGTGGCGTACAAAAGAACCCAAAACGAGCTTAGCAGGGGAAACTACAAACAATTCTATGTATTTATTTTATATGCTTATAAATGTAATTTTGTGACTTGTTCCCATGAAGGAAATTGAACAATTTTAAGTGTTTATAATAATAAATAAATAAACTTAAATTTCAGTTGGCTACTCCTCCAAACACTAGAGGCTCTGGGCTACAATCATTGTGGTAGCTGGAGTGAGGCGCAGCTGCATGTGGACTTCGCCAATCAGCTGGAAAGTGATGGCCTCTGGGAATGGTCAACTTTTGTGCTCTTACACATCAAGGAACAAAACCAGCGGGAAAGCGCTGTGAAGAACATGCTGCAGCGACATGTGAGCGTCTCGGAAGAGATAGCCCTTACCGAGCAAGAGAACTTCGTGATACATCGTCTGGGAGTGCCGGAGCATTGGGTGAACTTTGCGAAGGCCTTGCAAGCCGGCTACAGTGGCCAACGTCACCTGCAGGCAAAATATCTGTTGAGAGCAAAAGAATGGGCTATGGCGCATGAAATTATTTATCTGCATATTGCTCCCGACGCCATAATCAACAGTAAGCCTAAAGTTGCCAACTTGGTCTTCCTGATTTATTACAATGTTATATTTTGACTTATTTGTAGATGACACGGATTATTTGCACGATTTGCTCACTCAATTTGAATGCACAGATGAGGGCTCCATTGTCAAGGTGCCTAATTGGGCCAATGAGGGTCAGATATTTCTGGACTTTATTGATATAAGTGCTAAGGTAATTTTGCGTTTATCACCTTCATGGTGCTTTATTTTTTAATCCGCTTCTTTCGTTATAGTTCGAACAAATCCGCAGCATGAATAACGTGGAGGACATACAAGCTCGCTGGGAAGGTCTTAAGCCGCAACTGAGCGATCTCTGTTCGCGCATAAATGCGCTACCCTGTCCTACGACCAAGCACCGCCTTTGCCAGAGCGAAATTTCTCAGAGCTTGAGTTGTTTGGTGCATGGCATGTGCATTGTCAATCCCGAACTAGACCCCTGTTTCATTATGAAAATGGCACTGGAACGTTTACCATTGCCGCAGGAATTCGCGACCAAAGACTTGGACACTCTGCTCGACAAGTATATGGACAAACTGAACCATGAAACAACATTGAATGAGATTGATGGCAGCATACGAATGATAGAAGCTTAGGGCATTAATAAATAGAATTTAGGCCAAAAAACAGATAAAAATTCAATTTCGAAGTTTACTTTAGTATTCAAAAACAAACTAATAATTGTTAGGTATAGAGAGGATAATTTAGAATAGGGCATCCATTCGTCACAAAGACAAAATTAGCACCTAAACAGTGAAACTAATTATTATATTTGTTAAATTGTTTTGAGCCAATATTATAATAATTTACTACGTGTTTATTTCAAATTGTTTTAGTCAGAATAAAATTTATATCTTGTTTATTATACCGATTACTTATGTACAATTATATAAATAAAAATTATAAAATTAAAACAACATGTTTCGTTGCCTTCAAGCTGATGCTCAAGCTCTGCTGCAAGTTTGGGTCAACTCTGTACTGCAACATGCTCACACACAGGCACACAACTACGCATAGATTACATAAATAATTAAAGCTATTAAAAGCTTTGAAGAACACGGTGTTGATTGGAAGCCGATAACGCAAGTACATATTTACGATCAGTTTCGTTTAAGACATTGACAACGACACAACCCAGAAGCTTTTAGCGTATTCATACATACAAACATACATACATCATATAGTATGTACATACATACATATGTATGAAAATAATAAAGATTCTTGTATTGTTTAAATGTAATTAAGCGTATTCAATACCGAAATTTGTCTCCCGGCAATGTCAAGCTCCTGGTGTGGACGTGACTTTCAGAAGCGTGAGTTTGCCAAGCACTCGCCCACTATTTGTTACGACAAGCCAAACGCGGCAGTTGTTTCCAAGGAGGAGTATGACGTATGGTGATAAATTTAAATTGTAAACATTATTAACTTCTTCGTTGTGTAGGACAAGCGCTACAAGGCGCTCTGCGGCGATGTGATCCAAACGCTCATTGTGCCCAAGCGAGAAGCACGTACTTGGTCGATGCAGCAGGGCGATCTGTGTCGGGTCACAGTGCATGAAGGCTCCCAAGTGGGCGACATGAACTTTTGGAACTTGGACAATACCAATGAGCGTTTCTATTCGGGCAAAACACGGCAACTACACGCCGCCCACCTAAGAGTGTACGATCGGCTGTGGAGCTGCTTACCCTATCTTAGACCCATGGCTACATTTGTTTTTGACACACTTGCCACTTATGGAATCGATGAGGATGGTGGAGCTCTACACGACGTGATTGGCACGCGTTGCGATGATTACACGTACAAACTGATAACGGGAAAGGAACGTGTGGGCAGTTGCCACAGTTCTTTGGTTAAGGCGGTGGTGGAGGAGCGTGGAATGTGTGAGCAGGATGTGCACGATGTGTGGAACATTTTCATGTGCACTGGTATAACGAGGGTAAGGAGACTTAGAACTGAAGTGGTTGCTTTCGTATAATAGAGAAGTGCTTTGCAGGACACCGATCAGTACTTCTGCAAGCCAAGTCCGGCCAGAAAAGGTGACTTCATTGAATTCATAGCGGATATGAATTTGTTGGTAGCCTTGAGTGCTTGTCCTCAAGGCGATGTGTCAATACCAGTGGGTCATGAGGTGCCTGATGAAGTGTGCCATCCTTTAAAGGTCGAGGTCTTTCGTCAAAAGTTGTAAATTCCTTATATATGTACATTTGTTTTTAAAATGGTTTTCCTTATGTACATACATGTATGTATATTTTTATACACATAAAATAGATAATTGAATATTTGAGTTCCAATAAATTTTAAATCATGGTGACCTTAAAACTGTAACTGAAAACGCATCGATACATCTTATTAAACTATCGTTATATCGACCTCATATCGATGACATATGTATAACATATATTGTAATGCAAACTACTACTACTACTAATTAATGCGTTTATAATGAGCAATATTAGCGGCGAAGACAATCATGAGAAGCTGCGCAACTATATACTCAATCCGGACATATCCATCCATGATCCGCTGCCAGATGTGCTACCGCGCCAATTCGATGAAATGCGCCTGTTGCATATTCCAAAATGTCCAGCAAGCACAAAATTGATTCCGCGCCGGGATTTTTATACCGGTAAAATACTCGAGTTCATTGAAGTAGATTTGGAGGATGTGGGCGCCAATGCAAACAATTCCATGTCTATGAGGCGTGAGCCCGGCCTATTGGAAGAAGTGACACGCGGCTCACACATGAACTTTCCATTTTGGCCGGGCGGCTTTGATGAACAGCCGCACGAGATAACTAATCTCGATATAGCGAACATTGACATTGGCGATAAGCTCCTAACCGTTCCACCAGGATTTCCATGCGGCCATGACTTCTCGGCGGAAGCAGGAAAACCTGAGGTGCTGAAGACGTATGGGCCAGTTGACAATGTGGATCTTTTGCAAAATCTAGAGCAGGATATGGATGTAAAGGAGTGGTTGCAAATGGCGGGTGGCGAAAAAGATGCAACAGCAGTGGCCGACCCAGAGCGCCACTTACGTTTTCCTGTCGAATTTCTGGATGTTGAAGATCAGATTATGAAGGAAGATCTCAAGCCAGTTTTAAATATATCCACCACAACGAAAACATTTAGTAGCGACTGGGCCGAAATGGTGGATATCAGTCAACCTATGCCAGATTTTAAGAAGAAAATACCGTGTCCGGCGATGGAATTTCCCTTCGAGCTAGACGTCTTTCAGAAGCAGGCCATACTCAAGCTGGAACAGCGTCAGTACGTGTTTGTGGCCGCTCACACATCAGCAGGCAAGACAGTAGTGGCCGAATATGCTATAGCACTGTCTAAGCGAGATCTTACACGCACCATTTACACATCGCCCATTAAGGCGCTGTCAAATCAAAAGTATCGAGATTTTCGGAAAACGTTCAAGGATGTGGGTCTTATAACTGGCGATTTACAGATTGAACCCACCGCATCGTGTCTGATTATGACCACTGAGATTCTGAGATCCATGCTCTATTGCGGCAGCGATATAACCAGAGATCTGGAGTATGTTATCTTCGACGAGGTGCACTATATAAACAATCCGGAACGTGGGTACAACAAATTCCTTTATACGGATAAACTTACGAACAACTTTTTTAAGGTGGACACGTCTGGGAGGAGGTCATTATTCTGCTACCGGATCATGTTAACATTATTATGCTGAGCGCTACAGTGCCCAACACCATGGAGTTGGCCGACTGGGTCGGTAGCACCAAAAAGCGCAAAGTCTATGTGATTAGCACACTAAAGCGACCGGTGCCGCTGATGCACTACCTTTACACTGGCGCGGGCGGTAAAAGTCGCGATGACATTTTCCTGCTGGTCGATGCACAGGGCAAATATTTGCAAGGAAATTATGATAAGGCGGTGGAGCGTAAAAAGGAAATGCAAAGTAAATCCAAGGGCGGCTCTGCCGGCAATGGACCAAAGAATTACGTAAGCGCTAAGCAAGATCAATACACGTGGATTGGTTTGATTGATTTCCTTAAGCGGAACAACAAAATGCCAGTTGTCGCATTTACACTCTCTCGGAATCGATGTGATCAAAATGTAGCTGCCTTGCAGTCTGTTGATCTCAATACGGCGGTCGAGAAGGGTGCTGTACAGAAATTCTTTCTGCAATGTTTGGCCAAGCTGAAGCCACCAGATCGTACTATACCCCAGGTCATGGTTCTTAAGGACGCCCTGGAGCGGGGCATTGGTGTGCATCATAGTGGCATACTGCCAATACTCAAGGAAATTGTTGAAATGCTTTTTCAGAACGGTCTGGTCAAATTGCTTTTTGCCACAGAGACCTTTGCCATGGGCGTGAACATGCCAGCTCGTACAGTTGTCTTCGATTCGCATAGAAAATTCGATGGTGTGGAGGTACGTAATCTGAAGCCCGGCGAATATATACAGATGGCAGGTCGCGCTGGGCGTCGTGGTCATGATGAGAACGGTACAGTCATTCTGCTTTGCAAAGCCAATGTGCCACCTTCTATGGAATTGCGTCCTATGATACTAGGCCTGCCAGAGAAGTTGCAATCGCAATTCATTTTGCGCTATGCCGTAATATTGACTTGCCTGCGCATCGAGAGCATTAGAGTGGAGGATATCATGCAGTTTAGCTTCAAGGAGTTCAATCAAAAGTTGCAGTTGCCCACGCAACAGAAGCAGTTGAGATTGGCTGAAGATAAATTCGCCATGCTGCCTCCACTAGGCGAGCATTTGCAACCACTTGTATTTTTCCACGACAAGGCGATAGAGTATTGGCGAGGAAAGGATCGTGTTATGGTCGGTTAAAGTCGTTTCGTGTTCTAAATAGCAACTTTAATATCTACCCTCTGTATTCTCCCTTAGAAATTCCTGTTAAGTCAAGCAAGAATCCAAAAGGAGCTCAAAGTTGGACGCATCATTGTGATTACCCAAGGCAAGCACTACAATAAGTTGGCCATCTTGTTAAATGTGAAATCAGTGCTGGGCAAGGACACCGTATACAAAATCCTAGTTTTGGACCATCAATTTAAGGCCAAAGAAAATGATAGATTCGATCGTGGCGAACTCTACTACAAGATACTCTCACTGACTCCGGAGCACAAATTCTTCCACCCGGAGGGCATTGGTGGCCATACAGTTTTGGACATTAAAGCTGCGGATATAGTGCATATAACAAAGAACGCTATTAAGGTAGACGCTGATATCATAATACGCAACTGGGAACAACGACAGTTGGAGCGTTTTAAGGATGCACCACCGGGTGCCACTGTAGTGAAGGCTGTAACTGAGTTGCATCAGTTGAACGAAGCGTACATTGCTAATCCGGAAAGCTTAAAGTATATTGATGTGTCCAAGGAGTTGATTGTAAATGCAGATACGGAATTAACCATAATAAGTCAGTTCGAGCATCTGGCACGCCAGCTGAACGAAGTGCTTCCTCATACCAATATTGCCGGCTTTGAGCAGGAATTCGCCAAAGTCTACGAGAGACGTGTACTTGAGATTCACATTGAAGAGCTTAAGTTTAAGAACTCTGCCAAGAATCTTTCACTGTATCCGGACTATTGCAACAAACTAAACGTGTTACGCGCCTTAAAATACATCAATGAACAAGACGAGGTGACGCTCAAGGGCAAAGTAGCCTGTGAGATGGGACAGAATGAACTGCTCATCACCGAGTTAATACTCTGCAATATGTTCAATGATTTGGAGCCGGCAGAAATTGCTGCGCTGCTATCAGGCTTAGTATTCCAAGCAAAAATTCAAGGTGAGCCGGTCATACCGGAACCTCTAAAGGAATGTGTGGCTGCTTTCGAGCAAATCAATGATACTATCTTGGCCGAGGAGCAACGTCAACAGGCGGCTTTTGAAATCGAAAATCGGCTTAATTTTGGTCTGCTGGAAGTCGTCTATGAGTGGGCCCGCAATAAGGTAGGTCTATCGGATGAGTTACTTCTTAGTTTCTTACTTTCGTATTCTTAGCCCTTTGCTGAAATTATGAAGTTAACCGAAGTGCAGGAAGGCATCATTGTGCGTTGCATACAGCAGCTGGATGAAACTTTGCGTGATGTAAAGACCGCAGCGATACGTATTGGCAATCCCGGTCTGCAATCAAAAATGGAGGAAGCGTCTGCCGCGATTAAACGTGATATTGTGTTCACTGCAAGTCTATATACAGAACTGTAAAAAGAAAATCTGGCTGGCAAATAAACAACATTGGTGGTTTCTTAAAACTACAAACTGATGCATGTGCCACAATTACAATTCCGATCGATACTTATAAAAATGTAAAATTATAGTTTTCTCTGTTAACTTTATGTCGGCTTCATCGCGATTCTGGCTTAAACTTTGGCGGAACCATCATGCCAGTCATGTGCTTTTGTTTCTTAGTTTTTTTCGATTTACTTGCACCTGATTGAAAATCGTGCCAGCTGTTGACTCGATTTTGTCGAGATTCCTCAAAGTTTTGCTGCCATTCGCGATCCGCTTTAACGCGCTCCTCCTCCTCGATTTCAGATTCACGCTTCCGTTTGCGCTCCTCTTGGTCCCGTTGATCAAGTTTTTGGCGGCGTCTCTCCATATCCGCAAACAGCTTCATGACCATCACATAAATGGCATGTTTGTATTTTGTAGGATCATCCTCGGGTATGGGTTCGGTGGGTCTACCTTCTTTTTTTAACTTTTTACGTTTTTCTGCAATCTAAACGATAAGCAAAATGTTTTAGGCTTTTATAGACAGAGTCATTGAACTACGCATTACCATATGATCTGTCCGACCCTTGGCCTCTTCGTATACATCCAAGCACTTTTTTCTTGCCAAATCATTCTCCAATATTTTCCAGGCACGCGCTACTATGTCAAAGGCCATTTGCGCACGCTCCTTGTTGTCATGATTCTTGTCGGGATGAACCAGAATGGACAATGTGCGATATCGTTTTTTTATGTCGGCCACCTCACTTTCTGGTTCTATTTGCAGGACCTCGAACGGGTTGAGGTTGAAGTACGTGGAACCTGGACGAAGTAAACGATCAATTTGTTGAGTAGGAGTTAGTACTGAATCGCGTTTTTCAATTTCTTTCACCTGCGAATATAGTCATAATGTCGTTTATTTATCTGTATAACAAATTTAATGGGTTTATGATTGTCAGGGGAAGGCAGGCAGGCTTTCTTGGTGCGCCACCAGTTGGCACTGCTGTCACATAACTTACTTCGGAGTAAAATACATCGAAAGATTCCTTGGAAGTGCTTGGCTGGTCTTTTGACGAAGCAGAGGACATTTTCTGTTATTGTTTTTCACTTATTAAAACAAATTTTTTTTTTTTTTTTTTTTTTTTTTTTTTTTTTTTTTTTTGGGTTTAAGTTACCACGATGCCCTTGGGTATTGTGGAATTATTTGGCCGCCCACTTATTGGTGAAGTGGAAATTGCCACACTAGATAAATGTAGGATGTTGCTTGAAATTACAGTTTGACTTTTGTGTCATTTATGAAGTTTACTATTGCGTTATATTCTTGAACCGCCTCATGCTTAAAGAAAGAGTGCAGATTGTTATATTTGGTTAGCGATGGGACGCGTTGTCGATTTGTATTATGTTTTGGACATTCAAATATGATGTGTGATGCGCTATCGGGAACGCCGCAGCTGTTACATTTGTTATCGTCGATAACATGCATTTTTGAAAGAGTGACTTTATCGAATGTGTATCCACTAAGCAGTCTATTAATTAGTTTTGTATTGTTTGCGTTAAAATTGCAGCTCTTATTTTGGAACCACGGTTTTCCAAGCGTGGTCGGAAAAAGTGCGCAGTATGCTCTGTTTTTCTCTGCCACGAATCTGGCGTACTCTAGTTCCCATTCGTCATGGATTAGACTGTACATGGTACGCACTGCATCCTTTAAGCTCCATTTTAGCACCATGAAGGTGCCGTCTGTTGTTGCTCTTTTGGCTGCCGTGTCCACCGCGGAATTTTGGGGAATACCCACATGTCCCGGTATGAAATGTAACTCTACAGCTAAAACACTGGAACAGTTATTAATTTTTCTTTTAATGTTGTTTGCTATGGAATTGTTAAGCGAATGATTTATTAGTGTTTGCACGCTGCCTCGGCTGTCCGTTAAAATTGCCACATGGGAAATTCTCAACCAGATTGCATGATCAACTGCCTTTTCAATTGCAATAAGCTCTGAGGAGAGAGACGAGAGGATTTTGTTTGTATAGAAACTATCTACAAACCCTGATTCTTCCTGCAAAAAAGCAGAGCTTGAGTGGCTGGAGGTGACCGATCCGTCGGTAAAATATAGCTTAAAGCCTCTGCTTCTCAGACTGGAGGCTTTCTCATTAAAAATCAGGCGCATGGTTGAATTATCCATGGACTGCTTGTTTCTTGCTGAGCCCTTCAAAAAATCCGTGTCTCCTTTCATTTTTGCGCATTTGAGAGGTATTAGAGGAATCTCTTCAATGTGGTCTAGTATGTTAGCAAACCTCCTGTAAACCCTCGCATAACTAGTGTTTATCGTGCTGGTGGATGACAGCAAATCGCAGACTGGTAAATTGAAAGCAAATGCTTTTGCCAATTCTTTGGCTGTGAGGAATAAAATCCTGAAATCCGGTGGCATCTCTGCTGCCATGTGGTAGATGATTTGAATGGGGGTACATTTTATTAGTCCTAACGCTTTTCTCAGGTGCATATTGGTATGGCTTTTGACCTTAGCTAGGGCTGTCTTGGATAGGCTGCTAAAAGAGGAGCACGCGTATTCCAGCCTGCTCCTGACGAAAGCCTTGTGCAACAAGATTCCTTGCCTAGGACTGACACCGTATTGACAGCCGCTAAAGAGCCTGATGAACGCACATGATTTATTGGCCTCTGAGATAGCCTGACTAATATGGGTGCATGCCGAGTTATTTGCTGTTATGTTCCTGCCTAAATAGCTGATTTGTGCAACTTCCTTAATGTGGAAACCTTGGCTTACCAAATTTAGTTGTCTTCTGCGTGAGCTGAAGTGAATGACTTTGGATTTGGCTGGATTAAAAGATAAGTTGAGCCTGCTGCATTCTCTTTCAAATTTTTCTATTCTTTCACTTAGCGTTAAAACGGCTAAATCAAACTTCTTGTGAAAACAGATCAGAAAGAAATCATCTGCATATTGAAAAAGCAGACAGTTCGAATTGTTTATGGTGTGTAACTTGGCTGTGTAAATGTTGAAAAGAGTGGGACTTAAGCAGCTACCTTGGCAAACTCCTCTATTTATTTCAGCTTTGCTCGACCCCTTTACCAGATATCTGCGTCGGAGGAAATCAGTTATCCACCTTACCTGGTGTGGATCAAACTCCACGGCACGAAGCTGGTGGTCTAAGGTTTCAATATCCACACAGTCAAAAGCCTTTTTTAGATCTAGACATGCTGCCACAACTTGGAAACCCTCAGTCTTAAGGTATTGGATCTTGTTAATTAGATCGTTTATGCATAGAGCTGTCGATCTTCCTTTCCTGAAAGCATATGATCTTTCCGGTAGCAGGTCGCGACTGGCAATATGTTCGTCGAATTTCATTTTGATTAGACCCTCTACTGTTTTTAACAGAACACTAAGCAGGCAGATTGGTCTGTGGTTACAAACGAGGTCAGAGTTTGAGCCCTTTTTTGGTACCGGCACCAGCCTGATCTGTCTCCAGGATTCTGGGAAGACTCCAGCCCGCCAAATGTCGTTTATCATATTAAAAAGTTGATTCTTCTTAGGGTTCGGTAATGTCTGCAGCATCCTATACGAGATGCCATCGAGCCCACATGCCGAATCTGGATTTCTCGCATTCAACACTGACATAAAATCCTCAAAGTTAAACAAAATGGGGACCCCTTCCTGGACCAATGATGTCGCCATACGTGGACAACTGAATGTTGTGGTTGGCGTGTTCTTTACTATCATAAGGAACTCCTCGTCCTCTGCTTTTGACCAGGTGTTAGCTGTCCTTTTCATTCTTTTATAAAGTTTTAAATGTCTTGTTCCATTCCACAGTGTGGGAGCTGTCGTCATTTCGTCAATATACTGCCTAAAATTAGCTCTGCGACAGTTTTTTATTTGGTTTTGCAGCTTTGCTTCTGCTACCATGAGTAGCTCCGCATCTTCCAGCTTTTTGGTGAAATAGAACTTTTTCCTGCAGGCATTTCTAAGGCGAAACAGCTTGTCAACTTCCTCGTTCCACCATCTCTTGGGTACATATTTGTTTTTGCTTGATACCGTAATTGTATTGGTTTTTGTGATAAGGCGAACATTGCCATTGAGTGAATCCAGGTTTGAAAAGTCACTATTAGCGAAAACTCTCGCAATCCTATTATGAAGTACCTTTTTGTGACTTGTATTCGCGCAGAATTGGACCAAGTCTATTAAGACTGGAAAATGGTTGCTGTTTGTTAGTTTGCTGCTTTGAGCCTGCCATCTATATTGAATACTACTCGTATTGCAGAAAGTCAGATCCAGCACCGAGCTTTGACCTGGGCAACGAGAAAACGTAGGGGAGCTGTCGTTCATACATACAAAGCCCGAGTTAGCTGCCGCCCGTTCCAAGCCATGTCCTTTGCCGTCGCTACTGGAGCTGCCCCATGTTGTGGATTTGGCATTAAAATCCCCACATATTAGTGAAGCAATGCTCAATGATGCCGCATACTCGAAAATTTCTTTTGCCCCCTTTTTCAGGATAGACACTGATAATGAGGGGGCCGCATAGATACCGTAAAGGCACAAATTTCTCTTTAGATTTAGGGTCTGAATGCCCATACATTCCATGTCGTTTTTAATCTTTAGGATTTTGAATTTGATTCCCCTTCTTATGTACATCCCTACTCCACCGTATCCGTCTTCCCTTGGCTTTCCATAAAAGTTAAAGTCAGGAATTCCACACTCTGAATTGTCTTTCACCCATATTTCCGACAGAATGGCGATGTCTATGTTGTTGTTTAGGAGGAACATGTGAAGAATTTGTTTGTTGTTGTTGAAAGTCAGGCTTTGGATGTTGAATTGGAGGATTCTCATATTGTTGCTGTGCTTGTCAAGGCCGAGGCGATGCAAATTTGATTTGCATCTAGCTCCGCATTAGCAGCATTTATGAGATCCCTGATTTCCTCCCAGAACTGTAGAGATGGGCCCGCTCCGCTATTTGGGTCCGTTATGAAGTTAGATATTTTCTTTTCCACTATATTAAGTTTTTCTTGGGCTAAAGACACTTTGGTGGTACCAACTTCAAGCACCTCCGCTCTGTGAGCGGTATCTGCCAAGTTATGACTAGTTGTATTGCCGTATCTGGACGGCTTGGGCTTGGATGTTTCCCCGAGAGCTCTGCCTGGAAGCCTAGCTACCCTGGCATATGGTGCAATGGGATGCACCTCCTTCGCCACTTCGTGGCTGCTGTACTCGCGCTTTCCTGAGCTATTATTTAGCCTTCTTAAAAAAGGGAATTCTGACTGATCTCTTAGATCAGGCACCGTCCTCTTAAAGAGAGACGGATGAGTCTTCTTAATTTCTGCTCGGGACATATTCTCCAAGGCCATACACTTTTGAATAGCGAATTCCTTTTGTCTGGCTGCACAATGGGGTGATGTTGCCATATGGCCTTCTTTGCAATTGGCACAAGCAATATCAGTGCAAATGTCCTTTCTCTCATGTTCTTTTCCGCACTTATAGCACCGTGCACTCCCCTTGCAGTGCTTGGCCATATGGCCAAAACGTAAGCAACGGAAGCATTGTTTGAAGTGTATAAACGGTTGTACCGCCACCTTTGTATATAGAAATTTTATTTCTTTTGGCACCTGGTGTCCCTTAAACCAGATCTTTACTCTGGAGGTAGGGACCAAGTCCCCTGTGTCCCTTGATTTTTTGAAAATTCTCTCCACCTGCATTATGGGAATGTCCGCCGACAGGAGTTCCATCATGTGGTCGGTTGACATATACGTGGGAATGTTAAAAATAATCCCAGCCTTTCTAGTGAAATGCTTAAAAATGTTGGCCTCGAAGCCGTGAACAGCGAGAGCTTCCAATGAGGCCAGGTCATTGGCGCTTTGCGCCGACACACAAGTGACCTTACACCTGCCATGCCCTATCCTGCTTACTTCTTCTATGCCACTGATTTTTAGCGAAGAGAGCAGCTCGATTAACTCGAATTGGTTAATCGCTTTGCGTACTCCCATTTCGCTAGCCTTGTCCACATAAACAATAAAAGGACCCTTGTGGTCCCCGTCATACTGCATGGCAACCACAATTTCCTTGTCGACCACACTTTTGCTTCCCGCATTTATTTCATCAGAAGTGGTAGAAATCTTGGAATTTTTCGACTTACATGAAAGTCCGTCCTTGTCAACTTTTACGTCATTTACCGCAGTTGCCTGTTTACCAACACTTGTATTTGGCGCGCTTTTGGTTGGGCCGCATTTGGCTGGCGCGTCGTTCTTTCCCTCTTTAGTTCTGCGAACTGATGGTGCTTCTTCCTTTTTGGGCACCTCGTTAGGGTTGGCGCGGCGACTGGTGGTCCCAAAAGCCCCGGTGGTGCATACTTGTCCTATCGGACGACCAGCTTTACTCCTGCCTGCCATAAAGCCTCGAAGTGCACGTTTCTGCACGAATGCTGCGTTTCTGTTGAAATCGAATCCTTTAATTAGTTTAAAAGTTGCAAATCAATAAGTAATGTGCTGTAGCACATTAAAACCGAAAAAAGTTGCTGATAAATTCAAATTCCACGAACTGCCCGTTAGCAGAAAAACGAAAAAACTTGAACACTGATACCCGACCGCGATGTTGTCTCCTCAGAAACCTAAAAGCAACTGAACAAATTTTTTTAAAATCCTGTTTTTAACTCAACAATGTCTGTACATAGCAGTGCTGTCGAATGCTTCCACCCCTCCACAGTGTTGGTAAACATGTCAAATACATAAGTTGCGATGATAGCGCGACCGAAATGAATTTTAAGACATTCCAACCTTAATATTAGTCATGGATGAATAAAATGGTATTTTGTACTTTCTATACGTAAGTAGTAAAAACATATTTTTACTAGAAATAATTTTTTTAAAATTACGGAAATATCGTCTGCAATGAGTTCTGTCTTGGTCGTGATTGTGATATCTTCCATCTCTAATACGTAAGTTAGGTCGTCCGCAAAATGTTGATAAATTATTTTAGATTATTAATTAAAGCTCCCAACGCTATTCATCACAGCAAGCGTTTGCTTAATTTATCTTCGACTCAACACAAAAAGATGTCTTATAACAATATCGGCTATACCGACATCGTTTGGATGGACCTGGAAATGACAGGCCTCGATATAACTAAAGACAAAATACTTGAGGTATCCTGCATAATAACGGATAAGGACCTCAACATCTTGTCTGAAGGACCTTGCTTTGCGATAAATCATCCGGATGAAGTATACCAAAACATGAACGAGTGGTGTATGAAACATCATTTTGAATCTGGCTTGGTGGATAGATGTAAGAAGTCTGATGTTGTCCCAGATCAGGCTGAGAACTTAATTTTGTCCTATCTTAAGCAGCATGTGCCGGCACATAAAAGTCCACTAGCTGGGAATTCAGTTTATATGGACAGAATGTTTCTACGCCAAAATATGCCGGCTGTGGACGAGTATTTGCACTATCGCATTATAGATGTTTCAACTGTGAAGGAACTGGCTAGAAGATGGAATAATGATGTGTTAGAAAACGCACCCAAAAAAAAGTTCGCTCACCGCAGCTTAGATGATATCAAAGAGAGCATAGCAGAATTAAAGTACTACAAAGGAAGCTTTTTTAAATGATATTCAGCTAGAGGCTGTAAAAATGACCCACAAATGGGATTACTAATAAAAACGCCCAGATTATAGTGAAGTATAAAAACATTGTTTAATATTACGTAGCTAGGTGTGAAATATTAGAGAACCACTCTAATTAGTTCGAATGTGCAAGCAAATGCAAAACTCTATAATTAGACATAAAAATACAAAAGCAATAAAAATCTCGAATTCCTAGTAGACCCCATTAATGTGGGCAGCAGGCAAACTGTTTGGGTGTGGATCCTGTCGTCTTCTTGAAGATCTCGAGTTATTAACAACATTGCTGTCACTGCCAGTAACCTTTTCGGCTTCAATACGTCCAGATAGGAAGCTGGCTACGTGTTCCTGTAATAAGTTCATGTTTAAAGTATTATTTTCAGTGACATAGAAAGGAGAAGCTGAGCTTACCAAATAGCTATTTGTTATCACTTGAAGATTAGCATAGAAAGCAAGCATGCGCTTGAAGAGAGATTCAGCTTCTTCTTTCGACAGATTTTTAACCTTGTCCAAACGGGATATGGTAATAATGCGGTTGTTAAAGTAAATAATATGGTGCACCACCTCGGTAGTAGTATGGGCCAGAGTTCTATTTGGGAGTCCACAGGTTTATTTCATTTACATTCTGCTGCAATTATTTAACAAACCTTGGAATTCTAGCTGCAACACTTGCGCTAAAGTTGACTAAGTGTACAACACGTCTGGCAGATTCACGAGTCAGGAGTACAATCAACTGTTCCAGAGTCTCAGGTCTGGCCTGATTTTCGGGCTCATCTGCACTCAAATAAGACCAGAGCTCCTTGGCCTTTTGCATTGCTAATTTCGGGTCTGTGGCAATCTGTGGCGTTAAAGGATACAATAAAATTTATAAAGCCCCCGGAAAGATCCGCCTTCAATCTAACTTACCAGTTCTGCGGCATACAGGAGCACATGAATGGCTTCTCTGCTTTGCTTCTTCAGCGCACGCGCCTCGGCCAAGGTTCTTTGCGTGAGACGACGCTTCAGTTTGCGGGAGAAGCGTTGACCGTGGTGAATTGCCTTAATGGCCCCCTTCTCATTCTTGGCTGCGGCCGCCGCCTCGCTATCATCGTCATTTGGCGCTACAGAACGGATACATTTAAGTTTGAAAAATTCCAGGATTTAAATGTATAACGCAAACAAAAAATGTTTTTTTCTTCAATTGTTTTTTGAGTAAAAACACCGACTTTGAGCTTAAGAGTCGTACGTGTACTTATCTCGTGACTTTCTTTAATAAGCAAGCACAACAACACAATCAAATAAATTCATATTGCAGTGATAACCTCTTACTAAGGCAAAGCAATCACGGAATTAAAAAAAAAAAACTTATATGCTGATGTCGCAACGGACGTGAGTGTAGACACATATGTATGTATATGTTTGTATATATTACATAAATATGTATGTATAACTAGTCTCAAGGTTGGCTATCAGCTTACAACTCACCGTCTGTCTGATCCTGATCCGTGTGTATGGGCACCAAATATTTGTCCACAAACTTATCACCGGCTGTGAATGCTCCATCAATGCGCTCGGCTGCATACGTTGTCAATGGACTATCTAAAACTGCAACTCCAATCTGTTTTACAGAGTCGGCGCGTTTCAGAACAGGTTTCACAAGATGATCCGACATATATTCCTTGGTATTCCAATACATCTTCAAGCATAAAATGATGGCCTAATAACGTCACATTTCTCCACTGCATTGCTCAGTGGCACAAATATTGCTTACCATTTCGGGTGGCAAATAGACCAGAGGTATGCGTTGCTCCAAAATGTCAAGACTTTTGCACATAACATTGTCCAGACGCTTCAGGGGCATTTCAAAGAGTCTAACAGCCGGCTGCACGGTCTCACAGGCAGCAAAAATTGTAGCCTCCACATTCTCGAAATACCAGCTAAATAGGCGATTGTTTTTTTTCACTTTGTCATACAAATGCTCAACACGCTTCACACTACTCTCAACCAACGGTATGGAGCCAATTCTATCGATGGCTTCCAAATGAAATTTACTGCCGGCAGTAGCAGTTGCTTTTGGAAGTTGAAACAAAAATTACATTACAACACTAACGATTGTATTTTAAAATTCACTACTAACCCATTTTATTTTCAAAATATCAGCAGAAATTATTATTATAAAATAAAATCAACCGCTCTTGTCGCCTGCTAATAAGCTACTGAGTCAGATGCAGTTCTGTGCCTCTGAAATATAGTCAAAACGATGTTTGAAATCGTACTAAGCCCTCAACCGGCATGCAGCAATTCAAAGCATTCGAATCATGCAAAACGAAATAAAAATATTGACCTTTACCACGATTGATAAGGACGCGCGCTACGCGTAACTGTGTGCACCTTAGACAGCTTTTCGCTTTATCAGCAGCATGGGATGACATGGTGTTCTATAGAAAGTTGTGCGAGGTCCAAAGGGCATTTGAATTCGAATTGTAGAAATTTAGGAACTCCATACAAAGTGAATCATTACACTTTTTATGATCAAGTGAGGCAATTGCACAATTTTTTTTATTGTATGTACATACATATTTGATTACTTTGAGTACATTCACCTAGAGATTGGTAAAAATCTTTCCCTCGCTATATGTGGGGGCGATCAGGTTGACGAATCCATTGCAATTGAGCTATCTGCAGTCTGGCCAGTGTTGCCTTTATTAGATCTGCCATGCCTCTTTATTGTTTGTGTTCTGCAGTTTGAACTTCAACATTGTTGCTAAGGCATGGCTCCATGTAATCAGCCAGACATTTTAATTACAACACATAGAACCATTTAGCATTTAATAGTGTAATTATAATCAGAAAATGTCTGCGTTTTGTCTGAATCTGATGGAACTGACTTTTGAGCTCTGAGAAGGGGGCCGTTGCACTTAAATGTTAATTCATAGGAATTTTAAACTAGCAGCAAAAGCCGCGCTATTCGATGGACACTCGATTGCGGATAGCTGCACAATATTCAGTGCTCTAAAGCACATACTTTAATTTTATCGGTAATGGCACATCACTTTTAGTAATTTGTTTGTTGCGTGTTTTTAGTGTATTGTCAATGTCAATTAAATTGAGCCTCAATTAATTGTTTAGTGTTTGTGGCATTAAATATGTTTAGTTTATAACAAATACGAAATATTATTGTACAATGAGCATCGTTATATTGAGATTAGTAGCTCTTTTAGGGTGCTTAAGCCCAGGTTTGTACTGCGTGTAGTGTGCGTGCCACACCCAAGACACCAAGGAAAGGCTCAAAGTGATTCATTACTTAAATGTTAATTATTTTTATTAACAGCATTAACACAATTCAACCAGCTGGAACAGCGCAATTGCATTATTCCCAAAATACTGCAAGGATCATGGTTCTCCTGGGAAGTCGGCTTGCCTACCCAAACCATAATCGACGCAACTTCTATGTCGACTCGAGGATACTGTATTAACTATCAGCGCCACCACGGTGACGAGTACTCCTTTGTGTTCAAAGAGCGCTCTGTGGACTGCTACCATTGTGTTCGAACAATAATACGCACACTAAACATCTTTGATAAGTTTGAGGGTCCATGCGTCAGTCTTCCTCCTGGTCAGCAACCCACGGTCGAAAACGTGTGCAAAGGTATCAAAGACGATCAACAATTGATCACATTGTTCAATGAGAACTTCGTGCCAATCAATTGCCGTTCATCCCTTGAGGGTGTGTGGCATTTTACATATCAAGTGAGTAAAGAGAATAAAACGTTGGACTTAATTAAAATGTTTAATTAATGGTTATGTGTATAGAATCGATTCCGCTTCACGGGTGTGTGCAATAAGCCGGATGCGCGCATACAGTCTTGTCAAACTGCTGGTACACAGTTTCTTATACAGAATCAAAAGTTCAATATAACTTATCAAAAATGTGAGGGAATGGAGGGCACCTTCAGCGGGAATGTAGAGTTCAGTTGTCTGGGTGATTGGTTTGTTGGCAAGAATCACTACTTTGCCGTGGCCAATACCAAGGAATCGCGTAAGGATGAGAAGTACCGCTGCTTTCTAAAGAATCGAGATGACGATTTGTACATTGGTGTATCTATAACGGCCGAATGTAATACGCTCAAGACGCCTGAAGCCTCACCGGAACGTCTCAAGCTTACACCTGTAAAAGCGGAGTATGTGGAACCAGGCTGTACTTTGCCTCAAAACTTTTCCGGAGAATGGGTTAATACAGCCAACATTGATGCTGATGTTTCGATAAGTGAAACACACATCAATGAGACGTATTATCCTGACAGGGCCCGTTACCGCAAGACTATTTATGTTTGCCGCGAGCGACGTGGAAATCGAGTTATGATGGCTCGTCTTACTGTCGATGGTTGTCAGAAAGATTATGTGTGCTTCGATTTCATGCCTAGGCATCACAACATTATACGCTACCGCAAAGGCTTAGCTGTAATTAAGGACGACTTTAGCACTGTATGCTCTTGGGTACAATTTCCCAATTCAGAAGCATGGAAGTACGACTTGTTCTTGGCCAGAAATCCAGTCCCCGTACGATGTCCAGTGGCTGGAAAGTTTAACTTTACACAAAAAGGTGAACATCCATTTAGAACCAGGTGAGTACAACTCAGTTTCACAATTTACGTCACGTCGAAATCTCAACCATCAAATCAATTTCAGAATTCTTGGGGGTGTAACATTGAGTCCACGTCCCGATATCCATTGCAAGCAAAATATATCCGACATGTCAGTGTGTGATACGGATCAGAAGGAGCTAGCCATAGATGAGAACTACTGTTTGTCTGTGGATCATTTGGGACGTCCTGTTGATATCTACAGTGATCCTGATTACCGCATGAAATGTATTGGCTTCTGGAAGGAGAACCTAAAGTCTTACCTTATTACTTACGATGATTTGGATCCACTTTCTAAGTACCGCTGTTGGGTATATCAACGTGCCGACTTAAATCGCGTGCTTATGTCCCAGGCAGTTGGTGCTTTCTGTAAGATCAATCAAGATGTGACGTCATGGAATCATTCTGAAGGCGCTGCAGTCGCCATAGATGCAATTGAGTACGAACGTGAGCGTGACGACTGTCCAATGTACTTTGACGATGGCTTAAATCCTTGGAAACCATCGGATGCTTCAAATATTGTTTTTGATTGGGATTTCTACAAAGCAGGCGCGTCAAAATTAATCTCAGCCATAAGTGTGCAAATAGCATGCTCCGTTGCAGTCGCTTTTGTGCTAGCCAAGTATTTAGTCGCTCACTAAGATAATGTTCAAAGTAATTTTTAGCAATTTTAACAAACCGATACAAGTTTTACATTCCATCCAACAAAATATTATGTGTCTTAACCGAATAGTGTCTTATCAAAACTAGTTTATAAGACAAACCTCAATGTGAGTACATTTTAAGACAAATTTTATTTTATTCCGTCCACAAACGAATCTCAAACATGTTGTATAAACGATTTTTAAAGTTTAATAAATAAAATATGTAAAGAAAACTTAAACATCCTAATGTACGTATAACTCAACTGTTGCGCCAAGCGCCGATTGCTAAAGCGATTGTTTTGGATAAATCGATACCTATGTAACTGTCCCAATTTTCAGTGCTGTGAAATATTTGACAAAACGAAGTAGTCGGCTGAGGGAAACGGAAAAAGTGGAATTTCTGTTTTTGACAAATATTTGCACATTTAACTATAAATCATGTCGATGTCACTGATCTTGCGTGGTGCTACAAGATGCAATGGTGCGTATATTGTTATCCAACCGAAATTTGCACTTAATGGCAAAGAACAGCGTTTATTAGCTGTAAACTTGGCCAAATCGGCGCGCCTCAAGCCCGTGAAGGCTTACTCCACAATTGTAGCCGGTGCGCAACGTCAAGCTTTGGCAAAGCCTCTACTTCTAGTCAAAAATATTGCGGTATATATCTATATATATAAAACAGTTTGTCCTGACTGACTGACTGATTGGCTGATTGACTGATTGGTGATCAACGCACAGCTCAAACGGTAAAGGCTAGGAAATTTGGACTCAAGTATCCTTTCGAAGTCTAGGTCCCCACTAAGAAGGGATTTTGGAAAACTCGAGCTCCAAAGGGGGGAAAACAGGCTCCAACGTTTGTATGAAAAATCTACAGTTTTCATTTGATTAACTTTAAACTTAGTTTGTATACTCTCAAAACAATTCCAAGAAAAACTGTATACTTGGTTTTTTGATATTTTTGTTGGGGCCTAAAATATGGGAGTTTTCCTGTAAAAAAAATGTTGGGGCAAAAAAGCAAACCGCGTCAACAGCCCACAGCCCACACGGCATTTTTCAACCGATCGACTTAAAACTTAGTTTCTAAAATCAATTAAAGAATACAAACAAAACTGCATACTCGGATTTTCGAAATTTGTGTTGGAGCTTGAATTATTGGGGTTTTCTTGGGGCACAAAAGGACACCGCGTCAACAGCCCACAGCCCAAACGGTAAGAGCTAGAAAGCTGAAATTTGGGCTCAAGTATCCTACCAGGGTGTAGATGCGCACTAAGAAGTCTAGGTCCCCACTAAGAAGGGATTTTGGAAAATTCGAGCTCCAAAGGGGGAGAGGTAGCTCCAAAGTTTGTTTGAAAAATCCGCATTTTTCAAGCGATCGACTTAAAACTTAGTTTCTAAAATCAATTAAAGAATACAAACAAAACTGCATACTCGGATTTTCGAAATTTGTGTTGGAGCTTGAATTATTGGGATTTTAATATTTATTCACTATTTCAAATGAAAAGTTTGTGTTATAAATTTAGTCCGATCGATTTAAAATTTGGATAATGTAATCTACGTAACTAAATCTACAACTTTGCATTCAAGGATTTTCAAAATATGCATTTTACAAAAGCAGGCAGAACAAACAATACAAAATATCAAACAGTTGGGGACAACTAAGTATACATACACACACACACACATACATACATACAAGCAGCTGTTCGTGTAGTGCGTGGTTGAAGTAGCCAAAGCAAAATGTGAGACACTCATGTGTGAATGTTCATTTGTACACATGTATGTACATGCATACATACATATGTACAAAAGTACATTCGTCTTGCACTGACAGGGCAAGAAATGTTAATTAATTAAAAATTATTAACATTATAACATAAACATTTTGATGTTATTTTTTCTTTGTTTAGTACATTTGGCATAAGGGGTTTTTAGGACAACGGACTACAAGGGCGTACGCAGGTTGGGCAGGGGGGACATTGCTCCACCTAGAAAGAATTTCGCAATATGAATTACACCAGCACCATATGTATTACATACGTACATACATATGTACATACGTCTGTATGTATATTATGTACATATGTACATCAATAAGTATGTATGTACGTTCATACATTCCTATATACATACGTACATATATAGGTTTGTAGTGGGCCATCGAACACTGTTGTTTAATTGTAATAAATAGTGTTCTATGGTTTCAAATCAAAATTTTTAAAACAACAACAACAACAAGTTATTGGCTCGCAAATCTTATTTCGTTTTGATCATTTACGGCTGTTAATTTCATGCCAAAAGTTTATAGTTACCGTACACATACAAATGCATTTGTATGTATGTATGTGTACAGTGAACAATCGAATACAGTATTATAATCAATAACTCCCAAACGATGTTTTTCGATGTATTTGTATTCGACATGTATTACGATATATCAACACAAGTATCGATATTTTCGATATATCGCATTTAATTTTATTATTGGGGTTTTAATTTTTATTCACTTTTTCGAATGGTCAAATGTGTTATAAATTTTGTCCGATCGATTTTAAATTTGGGTAATGTAATCAACATAACTATATCAACAAATTGGCATTCAACGATTAAAATATAGCAATATGTTTTTTACTTGCCATATATCAAATAGTGGGGGACATCACATACACACACTCACACATACATACAACAAGCAACAGTTCGTGTCTATGTGTGCCCATGCATACATACATATGTACTATACAAGCATATGTATGTATGTATGCCTGTATATGTATGTATCATGTGCATACAAAACAACAACAACAACTTCAAGTTCTTGGCTCGCACATCTTTCGTTTTGACCATTTAATGTTAATTGCAAAGGCAAAACGCCAAAAGTTTACAGTTACCGTCGCTAGGCAACGACTGCGTAAGCGATAGTAAAGCAGAAACCGAATAACGGAGCTACGCATATTTTGCTTCGCATTGCGGGCAGATGTATGTATGTATTTACATGATTTGTTCTTAGTGATCTCTATAAATAATTCGATTTTATTATTTAAATATTCTGCTTATTGCATTCAAACTTCGATATTTTGATGGTATCGGTGCCAGTGGTTTTTGATCGTGGCTCATCGCTGCACGGCATTGACACGAATGCCGTGTTTCATATTCCCAGTTTGTACGTGGCCGTATTGACTCAATATGACACGAAAAGACTCAAATGTGAATTTAAATTTGGACTCAAGTATCCTTTCATAGTATCCATCATAGTGTAGGAGCACACTAAGAAAGGCTTTTGGAAAATTCTAGCTCCAAAAGGGGGGAAACGAGCTTTAAAAAATATTAGTTATAGTGGTCATGTTCGTTTAACGAAATAGTTTGGCAAGAACAAAAATGTAACGGACTATTGAACAATTTTCTGTCAAGAACAGAAAATGTTCATTTAAATACCTTAAATGCCTTCCTACTGACTAACTGGTAGGTTATGCACACACAAAATAAATACAAATGGAAACATTATATTGAGCCAGGTTAAGACGGGCAATACCTGCTAGTAGCTAATATAAATGTGGTATTTGGTAATGATTTTAATTTAGATTGATGGTTTTCCAGCCCATTGTTACGCGCAACATTTCGGTGAGCGCGCCAAGGATGGCTTCATTATTAATTTAATTTGTATAATATAACAAATAAACAAAAAATAAATAAATTATTTCGACAGATTTATTGCCTTTCCAAGGCTGGGGTACGATCGATATTAAATAATTGTGTACCTCATTCGCTACTGGGTCCATGACAGCTAATTTAATTATTACATGTTTGCTTGCACTCTACCACGCTGTTCGTTTAGGCGCTCTCTCTCTCTCTAGTTTTTGCTCTCGCCAGCTCATGTTGTTGGGATTGGAGCAACAAAGCTTATCTCTCAGTTGGTACTGAGCATTTGCTGTTGTTGGTTGTGGACGTTGGCGTCTACGACGTGCGCCGTGGGCTAGAAAAGAAATTAACACAAAATAAACAAAAACTATTTTTAGGCTGTGAAATCGAAAATTGCAGTGCATAATTTTAAGACTGCACCACTAAAACACGATTTCATAATTAGGACAATGCCGCCAGTCGACTGCAAATCACATCGCGGCACCAAAATATCGGTCATCCTATTGGGCAGCGCCCTCTGCTTTGTTATGATGGCATATTTTGTGTTTGGGGACAGCAACGATGAGCAGGGCTTGCGGAATCTACGCATGATATCCATTGTAGGTGGCGATGGCGCGCACAAAAGCAACAACATATACTACAAGTATATAGCTACATTTTCAATGGTTTATTTTTTCAGCTGTTTCGTCATGGAGCCAGGAATCCGACCGAGTTCTATCCGAATGATCCCCATGTGGCGCACGATTGGCAGGCTGGTCCAGGCGCACTCACGCTAGTGAAATTCATTTCTAATTAATGTAACTTTTAAGCAACGTTTCTTGACCTTACAGAAGGGTTCACTGCAGGCCTACAATCTGGGAAAGAATATGCGCATGCGCTACTATCGGCTACTGCCCTCCAATAGCATCTACACACAACAGCAGATTCATGTGCTCAGCTCGGCCGCGGAGTGGTGTGGTACGTGAAGATTGCGATAAAGCTACGCTGTCTAATCTGTCGGCTGTTATCTTTAGATGAGCGCACAGAGCGTGTTGGCCGGCTTCATGCCACCGCTAGAGAACAATAATGTATTGCCCATACCTTGGCAGCCGGTAGCGATAAATACGTTGGCCCGCAGCGACGACATTGTAGGTATCAACTATTTAAAGCTGACAATGTATTAAATGCGATATTGTTATATGGTTATAGCTGCTTGCCCAGAAGAAGCCTTGTCTGAAGTATGACACCATATTGCAAAAGCTGTACAAGAATCCGCCCAAAGATCTGCAGAGATTGAACGAGGAAAACAAGGAGTTGTACAAGTTGCTCACAAAAAACACCGGAAAGGTGAGCCCCAAAGTCAATACTATAATCCTTATGTATAATCTCAAACTTTCATAGAACATTTCAACAGTGCTCGATGTTGAGATGCTCTACAACACACTGAAGACCGAAGAGGAGGCCAATCTAGTGCTTCCAGATTGGACAGAAAATATCTGTCCAGAGTCCATGAAACCGCTAGCAGAGCGCAGCTACACACTTCACCGAAACGAATCTCATGAAGCGGATCAAAGGTGGTGCGTTTCTCACCGACGTAGTCAAGAAAATGCAGAACAGCGTCGAAAGAATTTAAATCCGGACCGCAAGATATTTTTATACGCTGGCCATGACGTGACAATGGTCAATGTTATGAACTCACTAAACATATTGGATCAGACGGCAAACTTGCCAGATTATGCCGCTGCTCTAGCCTTTGAACTGCATCACAGCAAATCCTTCAGCGATGATGATTTCGAGGTTAAACTCGTGTACTACTACAACAGCGAGGACAAGTTTCCCAAAGAGTTGATCATACCCAATTGCGATGCACCCTGCTCCCTAACGCAATTCGCCAAATCGCTGAATGCTTTGCTGCTGGACAACTACGATGAGACGTGTGAGAATCCGACGCCAGATTGCAAGGCATAGGGCGCTCTTTGTTTCTGACTGTGAAATATTCAAAAATGTAGGTGTTATTGTTGGAACTGTGCTAGTAAAAGGTTTTAAATACATACATCATACGACACTTTTTCGGCTTTAAATATTCAAAATTAAAAACTAGCTCCCTTATCTTCGGCGTAAAGAAAGTAGATTGGCACCTTTACGGCATCGCTGACATGAACGATCTCCGTGTGGCTGATTAAACGAATGGCTGCTAGCCCATAAAAGAGCATAGGTAAGCCTACAAAGAGATCGCTATTGTAGAGTGCTGGCTGATCATAAAACTGCTCCTAACACACCCAGATTGATCACCTTCAGAAATCGAAAGAACTTGTCCTCGAGCGAGAGATCAGCCACAGCGCGCTTGCTGCAGTGGTACTTCATATAGGGATAACAGCCTGTGCGCAAAATATGGTAGTTGGTGCCACTCTCTAAGGTCCAATTGAAGTGTGACATGCCGTGCTGATCATTCTTCACGTCTTTGAACTAAATTGGAAGTGCAAAAATTAAATTAACATAAAAAATGGCTGCATATCGGAGCGTAGTACCTTTACAAAATATGATGTCCAGGGTGGCTCCTGGCACTGCTTTAGGTAGGCAGTCAGGACCTCAGAGGCGCGTGGCTTTAGTAGAACGCGGGTAAGTTTCATTTTAAATAAATATTTTACTACAATTGCATCACAGCGCGCAGCAGTGCTCCAATTTGCTTTACCAGCCAGTGTTGCCCCAAAACTAAAGATAACATTACATTTTACAGCACTGCGTTTGAATTGCAATTCTCGTTGTTAACCAACACATGCAAAATTCAAAGGCGCTCTTACAGTAATTCGAATAAAGTACTGAAGAAATTGGAAAAATCTACTACTCACGTGAAGACGGAATACTTTGAGCCTCTGCCGTTGTATAACGAACCCATTTTGCAATACAATTCAGGATCCCCGGAACGTTTGGCACTTGAGAGAGAGCTGCAAGTGATACTTAATCATGTGGAGATTGTTCCAATAGTTGTTAATGGCGATGAAATTCGCTCCACCTTCGATAAGACACAGGTGCTTCCTTTCAATATAGAGAAGCCGATTGCTCGATATGGTCATGCTCATACTCAACTTATTGAGCATGCCATCGAAAAGTCCGTTGAGGCGCAAAAAGCTTGGGACTCAACTAGCTTGGGTCAGCGTATGGAAATATGGAAAGAAGCAGCCGATTTGATTGCCACAAAATATCGTTGCAAAATAATGGCGGCAACAATGCTGGGCCAAGGGAAAACAGTAAGGCAGGCAGAAGTGGATGTTGCCGAATTAGTTGACTTTATGCGCCTAAATGCATTGTTTCTGCGAGAATTAATGAACTATAAGCCCATAAATAATTGCCCCGCCGCACATCGAAATTATATGAGACTACGGGGATTTAGTGGTTTTGTGGCTGCCATTAGCCCCTTTAATTATACCTCGATTGCCGGCCATTTGGCCTATACACCCGCCCTCATGGGTAATGCGGTGTTATGGAAACCGAGTGACTCGGCTATACTATCTAATTGGTATGTCTTCGAGGCTCTCCGAGCAGCTGGAGTACCCGACGGGGTTGTGAATTTCGTGCCAGCCGAGGAAACATTGTTCGCTAAGGTTTGTACACGTAGCTCGAAGTTGGCTGGCATCAACTTCACTGGCACTGCGGGTGTTTTGAAGGTATTGTGGCAACTTGTGGCCAACAACATTAACGCCTATGAGAACTATCCTCGTCTGGTGGGGGAGTGTGGGGGCAAGAATTTCCATTTTGTGCACCGATCGGCAGATATTAAAACGGTTGTAGCTACCACAATACGTTCTGCCTTCGAATATGCAGGTCAAAAGTGTAGCTCCTGTTCAATGCTTTATGTTCCTGAATCCCTGTGGGAATCGAAGATTAAAGCTGCCTTGCTGAAAATCACAAGTCGTCTCTTTGTGAGCGATGCCACCTATACTGACTGCTTTTACTCCGCGGTGATCAACAAACGGGCCTTCCAACGCATTTGCATGTACCTTCACTATATTGAGAACGATGAGAACTGTCGGGTTCTGATTGGGGGTACAAGCTCTCAGAAGCGTGGCTACTATGTGGATCCCACTATTGTCCAAGTTACCAACCTGAACGATCGAATATGCAAGGAGGAACTGCTAGGCCCTATTCTGTGTGTGTATGTCTACAAGGACAATGAGCTTGCGGAGGTTATGCAAACTGTGGCCAAGATAAATCAGGGACTGACAGGCTCCGTATTTGCGAGCGATAGTCAGTTTATAGAAGAAGCTTGTGAGGCTTTCAGACTCAATGTGGGAAATTTAAATATCAATGATAAGTGCTCTGGCGCCATGGTTGGACAGCAACCTTTTGGCGGCGGCCAAAAGACAGGAACCAATGATAAGATGGGCAATCCACATCATTTGCTGCGTTGGACCTCACCGCAGGCGATTAAAGAGTCTTTTGTGCCACATGTAAATATATACTATCCTCATATGGAAATTAGCGACGCTGTTATGAGGGTAACCCAGATAGACGATGTGCCTGCTGCTGATGTGAATAAAAATTCGGATAAGAGTGTTGTTGGATAACTATCGAAATGATCAGCTTTAAGAAAATATAGTATGTCAGTTTCAAACAAATACCTGAAAATAAAACACTTCGATTCTACCTAAAAACTCTTGTTTAGTTTGCATCCGGGCAAATGATTCCCATATATTTGTGTAACAACATGAAATGTTTGGTTGGTCCGGCCCCCAGCGCGCAAGTCCAATAACATTATTTTGCCTATTGCTAATTATTTCAATTCAGACAAACGCAACTGTGCCCAGCAATATGGATTCAGCAAAGAAGCGGCCAGTGAGTTTGCCCGTCAAGCAGGTCGCCACATGGAGGAGAGGGCCTGAGAGTAAATTGAACGTCCGACGACTGTACGATGCCTATAAGCAGCGACTGAAACTGCAGGACGATCGGGATGATCACGCCAAAGGTGTGCGTTCGGCAGCCGGCTCTGCCAGAAACACCAACCACGCCCACAAGGAACAGAGGTTGAAGGTTGTAAAGCTCATGATATCTCCCACAAGATACGATGCAACGGACGAGCGCCAAAACGAAGACAACAACAATATGAGCCCAAAAAAGACCACGGATGTAGAGGATGAGCAGAACGATCGAGAAAAACCGGATGTGAAGCATCCAGTCGTCAGTGGTATGATGATATTAAAGGTGGATATGCCGACACCGAACCCTGACCCAAAGCCCATTCAGATGCCTCTCGGACTTTCCCAGCTGATTCACCTCTATGATGAATATACCAAGTCCTGGCGCCAACCTTCAGGGGAGCTCAAGCCGATGCCTGTATACGAGGAAGCATCTAATGCCGAGCCCATCATCACGGAATCTGCTCCAAATGCGTTACATAAGCTTTTCAATGTGTTACAGCATCTGGAGTTGGACCCGGATGCGCTTAAAATCAACAGGCCACCCCAACCAAGTAACAATCGCGAGAGTGCAGGACCTTCCGATAGAAACGAGGCACCCCATCGGGACGACTTTAATGTACTCTTGCACAGGCTGGAACCGAAGCTCTCCTCGAATATATTTAAGCGGGTGACCGACGAAATAGGTGCCATACGAAGCCACATCAAGGCGGGTGGCCTCTACGATGAGTACAAAAAAAGGCTCTGCCAGATACTGAGGGATCAGAAAAACACACGCAATATCAAATCCGACGATTCCGGCATAACCAGCGAAAGTGATATGCCCATCGATAGCGAGAATTCGAGGAAGACAAATAGCGTAAACGACTGCTGGTGTGACGCCTCAAAACCAGCCAAGTTTGCAACCGAGAAAGCGCACGCCGTGGCCAGATTGTTCGCCAAGGATAAAATGCTAAGGAAAAACAAACCAGTCAGCAATGTGAAAGGAAAGCCACAGAACGGCTATGCGAAAGCATTGGATGCATTCGCTTTCTGCGGAGCGGATGCTTGCAAGGGCAACGGTGGCCAAAAACCATATTATCTGCCCAACTCGAAGAACCGCCAGCTGGTGTGGAACGAAGTGCCTTTGTTGAAAAAGGGCGATAGTTCTAGTAACAGCTCTAGATTGAACGCTGTTAATACTACGGATGGCTCGACATTTGTAGGGCCTGTAGCTGGACCGACCGCTGATGGCGGTACATCTGGATTTGGTCTCAAGTTTAAATCTAAAACTGGTGAACGACCTACCTTCAGCAATCTTCCCAGCAAGCCCTATTCCGGCCTAGATCCAGCACATATTAGAACAGCCATTCATAACTTTAGGAACACCTCCTTCTTCAGCCTGTACGATGAGTACCAAAAGCAAATTGATAACCTACACAAGGTACTGAAGTCAAAGCAAAACTGGTGGAACGAGGCACAAAACTGGACAAGCAATGGTGGAGCTATTCCTGCGGAAGTTTTTCCAGCCGATACTGAAGCAAGCTCCGAGCATAACCACATTCCATCTTCCCTAGCCCAGCTGGAAGAAGGTGTTGGTATAAGCAACAATAATCACATGGTCTTCCCGGATGTACTCACTCAGGCCTTGGCCTCGTCAATGAATGTACTGAGTCCTGGTCCCATCACTGGGTCTGGCGGCGTACTCGAAAACATGGCTACGCAATTGAATCTGTCTCCAGTCGAATTGGCCCAGCGAATCGCGAATGTTGGGCAAACGGGCGACACCCGAATCCTGCGAAATGAAATGTTGGCTCCAAATGCAGGACCAGCACCTAACTCCATGCCGCAATCAGGTAAGTGGTGAACCAAGCACCGGTTTATAACCTACGCTCATGAAGTTTGTTAAAAAGCCAGCTCGACCAGCGCTGCTCGAATGCCGGCGGTAAGCCCAATGCCCGCCATAAATGTTCCAGTAAAGCTAGCCGAGAATGCGATCGACACAACACAGTCCTCAAACTTGGCCCCCATACTAGACAAGATACTGCAACGACTTCAGACCATGCAGCAGGCCAAACTGGAGGAGACAACAGAAGACGCAGTCGCAGTGGCTCCTACAACAGATAAACCGCTGCCTTGCTGCTTTGCTGATCCCACGGATGGTGAGTAGATTGTGTGGCTCGGGCTCGGAGTTTATTATTTAGTTTTCGTCAATAAGTATGTACCTAGGTACTGCTACTAAGCTCTGGTGACCTCAACTGAAACAATTTAACCGATTGCAGGAGCACCGTGTGATCTAATTGGCTCCTGGGAGTCCCTGCTGCTGGGGGTGCGCATCAACATCAAGGACACCAGAGAGAAAGCTGAAGATGATTACAAGCCGACCTGCGCTCAGCCCAAATATCGTCGCTTCAGTGCTGGGCGATTCTCTCGCCAATGTGTCAAGATCAACAGCAGCCAAATTCGGGAGCTATCGGAAGCCAAGGCCGTTGATAATGCCGTCTCCTTGAATATAAGCATACAGGAGACGGTGCCGCCTCGTGCCCATGATATCATTGAGAATGTCACCGAGTGGTCATTCACAGGACATACGCTGAGCGCGCTTGGCGGACCGTTGTCACTCTCTTGTCGCAAAATCGACTCCAATCTGATTGGCACCTTTGTCGGCTATTGTCGCACGTGCGGCTGTGTGGACACCATTTTCGGGTCATGGACATTTTGCACACCCTCTCATGACTGTCAGGACATCACAACGTCAATCTTCGAACGACGCGACATGCTGCGTCGATACAACATGGACAGCAAACGAAAGGATCGCTTCAAGGAACAGCTTTACAAGAAGAGTAAATTTGCAAAGGCAGAGAAAGATCGCTTACTTGCGGAGCAGAAAAAAATGAGTCGGAAAGGATAAGTTTTAGGCATATTTCCATCTATTCATCCATCCTAATGCAGTGGATGGTTCAGCTTGGGTTCAGTTTATTTTAATTTCATTTATTTTGATGTATTTATGTATGTATGTATATATATTTATATATGTATATATATTTGAAATGGTTTATAAAGCTTGACGTTCCTGGTTATTAATGAAGGACATGGCATAGCCAACGGAACGTCTGACGCAATGTTCGTCCATAATGTTGCCGGATTTGCAGCGTCTTAGTTGCTCGGAAACATAGTCGATGATCCGTGTTCGTATTTGCTCGTTGGTGTTATGCAGGCGTTCCATGCGCTTCTCCACTTTGTGAATTAGCCAATTGGATTCGGGATAGCCGGTCACATCCTGGGGCCAGGCGTCGGAAGAACTGTCCAACCATTTCGGGCTCCTATCTAGGTCATCCATGGTGTAGTCCTGTGATTGCTTCCAGGTGCCGGCCTCGGCAAGGGCCAAGGAACAAGCGAGTAATACGATGAGTGCGAAGCGCATGTTGATGTTATTTTGAAGCTATATTCTTTACTGTTGTCTGCCTAATATTTCCTATAGCCTTTTATACGCTCGGCACGTGAGCTTATCAACACGAATCTTCAATCTTGCTGAATCTGCTTACAGGTTGTTGCACTCTAAATAGTTTTATTTTTTCCTCTAACGTGTATATAAACTCATAATACAAAGTAATTCAGTCTCTTATCTATCAATCGATTGTTGCAATTGTAATCACATTATGATGCAAAAATGACTGAGTAATCAAAAAAATCGGATTTGTCAGTCAATGGGGTCGCCGTGTTGGTCGTGTGCAACCACTATAATAATTAATATTAAATCTTTTTCGGTGTCGCATCCTTAATTCACGTTTATTCTACCACGTTACATGACATTCAAATCTAGGCGTTAACCGCACTGTTGCGGAACTGCCAACTTAGTCGAGCTTTTGGTTGTTTTTTATTTTATTTTTGGTATTTTTTGGTTAGTTTTCACAAGTTGAGTAATTTTGGTTCTGTAATGATGTCTCCCAAACAATCGTTTATCTCGCGCAATTTGATTGCAATTGTGATGGTCCCAAGTTTAATTGGAATTCACATGGGCTGGAGTTACATGCAAAATAACCGCAAGCTAGTTACTGCCGATGAGCAAATCGATTTGCCAGTAGTTACGGTAAGAGAAGTCCTCAAAAGTCATGGGGCTCTGTTAAGCGTTCGTTATTTCACAGCTTGCCAAATACCTGTGGGGAAAACTAACAAGCCCAGAAAGCGAGAGGACGAACAGTCCTAAGTGACACTAAAACCACTCAATGTAGAAGGAAAGATATGGGCTGTAAATAGAATTACGTACATATGTATATGTATTTTATAATCTACGACACGGAATAAAAACTAATTTTTGACATGAACGAACGAATTAAAAATTGTATATTGCCTAAGGATCCTATTGCGTTAGCGAAGAGTTCACGGTGAGATTATCAAGCTGGGCGTTAAAAAGCACATCGCTGATTAATTTCTCAGCAATGATGCGCTGCGTGTGATTGATGGCGCGTAATTTGCTGGCCACATTTACGCCAATAGCGTCATATTCGTCCTCATGGCGGTGCGTTGCGCCCGGCGCCGCAGTTGTGTAAGCCGCTGTCGTTGATTGCCCAAAAATGGGTTGGTAGTGCTCGCGAGCAATTTGAATAGTCGGCACCGGCTGGGCATGACCGTTCGCCTGGTGTTGCAGGTGGTGCATTTGCTGTTGGTGTTGTTCGAGTGAGTTGACGGCCTGCAAAGTTGCGTAAGTAGTTTACTATTTGTGTTACTGCAAGTAATTCGAGTGCCCGACTCACCTGCTGTATCTCGCGTTGTGAATTGGAGTCCAGCGATGTTATTTCCAGAACCTTGACTGCATGTCCCTGTGCGGCTGCCGCAGCAATAGATGTTTGTGCTGCCTGTGCCTGTGCCACCAACTGTTGATGGGCCTGCGCTGCTGCTTCATGATGTTGTTGCTCTTCGTTTTTGACAAGCGTCACACAGTCTGCTGGCGTCACTGAAATGGTACTTAATGTAGCACCCTGACTACTGACAACTACGTTGGTAGCTGGCTCCGACTCTACATCATCTGCTGTGTTCGTCACTATTGATTCAATGTGCTGCTGTGACTGCGGTGTGTGATGCGATTCCTCCTCGTATTCCATTGAGTCCTCATCGTCGAAATTTATCTGCAGTTCCCGCTTCGGCGGCTTCATATCGCTGGGATGTCGCTTGGGCTTGTGTCCGGCTATGAAGAGCAGCTTGTCGTAGTACCACAGCCGCGTCTCATAGTCGCTCTTATTACTCGATTTGCGATACTCGCGCCGGAACGCCGAGCGCAACGAGTTGATTTTTCTCACTACCATAGCGCGATCGGGATGGGGCTCGACTTCTTTCAGTTTTTCAACCAACCTGTCATAGCTTTTATTACGCGCTCCGTGGTTGCTGTAATCCTGATGCTTCGGCTGCCATAAACACTCTTCCTCCTGGACAAAAAATGCTGTACTCAAGCAATGCATTTAAATATGAAATACGTTTCACTTTACCTGGTATTGATCAATGAACTCTGATAACCAATGCCGCGAATACGATCGCAGGTCATTCAAATTGGCCATATTCATATTTCTGCCTAATTCTTTTTCTTATTTAACTCCAATTCTAAAATGTTTTGTTTAAGTGCGTCTTACGCGAAGTTGGCTGCAAATGCACAATTATACTCAGTATCGATAGTTTGCGAAGTATTTTTAACAATCGCATTCTAGTAAGGTGGCAACTTTGTAATGAACGTAATATATGTTTTTGTCTCAAATGCTCTTTGCTTTTCGGTATGGTAGGAGGTTACGGGCGAAATGTGGATACATAAGTAGTTGTTGTTGAATAAAATAACGCTAAATAAATGTGCGTTTAAATTTCAATTTGAATTTGTGACAGTGTGGTTGTGATTGCGAACCTCGACGGAACTGTTTTGAGGTTTTTTTTTCTCGCCAGTCTCGATTTAAAATAAAACGCAAAAGTCCAAACCATAATAAAAGGTGCGTTCCGAAGGCAAAAATAGAATTATAACTAATATATTATTGTCTATGATCGCTTAATTATATAATGTAGTGCAGTATGGCTCAATGTGCAATACAAAACAAAATCTGTGAAAAAAATAACCCATGCCGAGTGTAAACGAAATCAAAACAACAAAAAGGAAACAACGATAAATCTTACGATATAGTGTATTTACATATATGTATATGTATGTACGTTTATGTAGCTGTGGCGCAACAAAAAGAGCAAAGAACCAAAGGGTTGATTTTGATAAGCCACAGCAACAGCTGTTGTTGTGGGGCGCAGTGCAAGAATGGCCCACTAGAATTCAGGTGACAACGACACCTTGAATTTCCTCATATTTACATCAGAGTTGTTCATTTTCTTGACAAGTGTATAGATTCGTAAACAAAGTAACGATTGGCTATGCAGGTGGATGTTGTTTTACTTCGGACGGGTACAAAGTCCATGTGAAAACGACTTCATTGTGTTGTTTGTGTTCTTGCGTTGTTATTGTGTCGCTTGGTCCCCGCACACACCAACCCACAATCAAAAACAAGCCGTTTGAGTTAGTTTAAAAATAGATACACTCACTCACTTAGGGGTACTGGACGCAACAAGCAACTCGTTAGAATACACATGCACACATACATATGTAAATACTATATGTATGTATATGCATAGAAAATTTTCCGTTTTTGTTGATTACCTCGCCTGAGTGCAAAATAAGGAGCAGTTGTTTTTGTATTTGCCTTTTTAAAAATGCATTGCCTAACGAACTTGTTTACATTCGTTGTACCGGCTACGTTGGGGTCAGCTTTCAGCCGCATAAAGTGCTCTCCATATAAGCGGTTGTTTACTTGCTTGCTAATTATTAACAGTTAAGATCTTTCTGATATGCAGTTTCAAGGCCAATATGCCTCAGTTCTATCTTAATTTCATAACAAACAGAAGGTAGTGAAATCGCCAACGCGTGCTATAAACTACATGTATATATGTATGTCTGTATATATGTATGTTCCACGCATGATAATTATTTTGGAGGTGTGTGCCAGTAGCAAACACATACAAATACAAACGTAGACGACACAGGCCTGATAATTCGTTTTTGTGTTTAATACTGACTTGTGCTGATCTCATTAGCACCAGTTGGGTTTTCAGGTTTCTTAAGCTATACATAGCTTTATTGGCATCTTGTGGTTGTTTTCTTGGCATATTTTGGTTGAACTACGTTATCAATAAAATAGGCTAATGTACATATGTCCACACAAAGGTCTATAGTTATCAGATTATCAGGTTCTGACAAGGATTGAATTGATTTCAACATATTAAGGTATACTTATAAACATACATTGCATATTTTTTGAGTGCATGTCAAGCAGTTACGAAATAGCCGTGGCAAGACCTACATAGTTCTAGAAAAATTTCTCTCGCTTTATTCCATTTGCATATGTATGCATGTATGTAGTTACGTCTGCGAGGTTTGCTTATCGCAGTCTAATTAAAACTATTCTCACCCCACGTTATCACTATACCAGGGCACAGAGACATCATACATACATACATACATAGACTACATTATCCATACAATATATTTGGACTATGTTATTGTTACAATCGCTTGGGTTGTGGCTAAAAGCCTTATATGTGCTATATCAAATGAAATCCAAATCTTACGATAAGCTGAACATGACGAGGACTGAAATGGTTGATATTTGAAAAAATAAATACATACATACATCATTGGTCCCTTTCTAGCCTGCCATGAGCCGCCTTTTGGAGAAACCCAACATTGCTGTGTCCATAACGTCAACGGGTAGTCAATTATCAAGTACAGTGGGCATCGCGTCAAGTAATAGCACGACGGCAACAGAGCCAGGAAAAGAAACGTCCACGGTGGAGGACGAGGATGAGCGAAACGCACTTACGTCAGAGGCAGCCGTTCAAATGACGAGTAGCGCCAAAACCACAGTGGGTATGTATGTTTGTTGCTGCATACGTATGTACATAGAGTTTACACATGTGTTTGTGTCTAAATATTCGAAATTTTCATTACAGTCCGAGACAAAATCGACGAGGTGCTGATCAGCTTAATAGCAGGTGCAGCAGCGGGAGCCTTAGCCAAGACCACAATCGCTCCGCTGGATCGTACAAAAATCAACTTTCAAATACGCAAGGATGTGCCATTTTCCTTTCGAGCGTCTCTCCACTACCTAAAAAACACCTATTCTAATGAGGGTGTCTTAGCTCTTTGGCGTGGAAACTCGGCGACTATGGCACGCATTGTGCCTTATGCAGCGATACAGTTCACTTCTCATGAGCAATGGCGACGGATTCTGCAAGTGGATCGAGACGGCACGGAGTAAGTGAATTGGGAACGAAAATTGCTCAACCATTTATTATTGTATTATGTCTTATAGCACAAAAGTTCGACGCTTTGTGGCTGGATCGCTGGCAGGTATTACGTCTCAGTCCCTTACTTATCCTCTAGACCTGGCACGTGCACGAATGGCTGTCACAGACAAGTATACGGGCTACCGAACTTTGCGCCAGGTGTTCGCAAAGATTTGGGTTGACGAGGGGCCTCGTACGCTATATCGTGGCTATTGGGCCACAGTATTGGGTGTGATACCATATGCAGGCACTTCTTTCTTTACCTACGAAACGCTCAAACGAGAATATCACGGTACGGTTTGTCATAATAACAGTTGCTTCATTTATGTTTTGTATCCATGCTCTTAGAAATGGTCGGTAATACGAAACCAAATACTCTAGTCTCGTTGGCTTTTGGTGCTGCGGCAGGAGCTGCTGGTCAAACCGCGAGCTATCCTTTAGATATTGTGCGTCGTCGCATGCAAACGATCCGAGTTAATACTATGGCCAATGAGCGATGCCCCACCATACTTGAAACGCTCATGAAAATATACCGGTACGTATCGCTCGATATAAAACAACATATGTACATACATATCTTCATCTATAAAAAATATAATTGTAATTTGACCGAATATTATTACAGTGAGGAAGGCATTAAGAACGGCTTCTACAAAGGTCTAAGCATGAATTGGATTAAAGGTCCTATTGCCGTGGGTATTAGCTTCTCCACATATGATCTGATTAAAGAGCTGCTTAGAGAACTATTTCACCTGAAACGGGGGCGGCTGGATCGCTAGCGATACCCTTTTACCAATTTCCTAACACAAGCACACCAAAAACGCACTGACTTATTTTTCTTTCATAAGACTCGGATGGCATAAGTGCGAAAACTTTGTTTTAGATTTATTAGATTTGTATTCTGAGTTATAGTAGTGGGAAAAACATACCAACGCTTAAATTTGTTATTAACAGAAATTGATTAATTATGTGTTCTAAGTTTAAAGTTTAGCGAATATATAAACAATAAAATTGTACAAAGTTTGTTCATTTGATTTTCTGTTATTTTTTCTTTTTATTAATTGCTAAACAACTATATATAGATCGGACAATAATACATTTTATACACTTTACATATTAATTAAGTCGTTCAAGGCTTTAACAATTTATAAGCTTATAAGTTTTAAATAGCACCATACTATGAAAGCTTAATAAACTGTGTACATTTGAAAAATGCGGTTTATGGATTTTGTCTAGGTGGCAACATAGTGACTTACTACACTGGTATAAATCGATTAGAAGGGTAGATATAAAAAGTCATCGATATCTTTATCCCTAGTCGTGCTGGGAAAAGTCTGGTGCGTAGAAACAAATAAAATTTTTGTTCGCGAAAAAATTAACCGGAATTCGGGACATTGTAATTACTGCGCTGCATTCTGTTCGTACTTTCGATTTGTATTCGAAATAAATGTTTAATTAGTTCGCAAATGTTGGTGCTGCGGCGGCCTGAAACCTAACCCAACAACAGTGAGCGAGACAAGCGTAAAGGTGAGCGTAAATATATACATATGTACGTATGTTCATATATTATTATGTATAATTCGTACATAATACAATTGACCAAAAGCTATGCTTAGATATGAAAAACACTGCCTGTGCACAATTAATTCACTATTGATTTTGCTGTTGCTAATGGCACCGTGTGGGCGGTTGGCTTGCGCTACTGCACTCTTGTTGCGTACAACAGGTGAACTCTGTTGACGTTAAAGCGATGCAGTGTTGCCATGCATAAACATATACATATGTAATTGTATTTTCCTTGACTATGGAATAATTAAATTGCATTCGAATACATGTCAATTGGCTTGCACAAATTTTCGTATATACTTATTTCTATATGTTTGAATGCATGTTAGTAAATGATAAGTATTTGTTTTGCGTCACTCGAAAATCATCTGGGTGCTCTTAACATAACACTGTTATGTATATTAACAGTCGCTGTTATTTATCCCAGTACTCGCTTTGTTGGCTCGTTCTTTCAATTTCTGATTTATTTCTCACATTTGATTCAGCCCAAGCGGTTCTTGTATGTTCGTGCGGCAAGTCGTGTGTATGAGAGAGCACGAGAAGCAATACACATTTACATGTGCATAGTTTCGTGTAAATAATTTTGTTAACTTACAAAAACATATAGTTTATAGTAATATATTTTGATAAAATAAACCACGTTCCGATTAAGATTCGGTAGTTCTTCGCCGTTTGCAGAAAGAGAGAAATTAAGTGTAGTGGACTCCGAAATTGTGTGTGTGCGTATTGGTGTGATTTATAAATAAAACAGCAAATACATAACAAAAAATTAAAAGTAAGAAGAAGTCCAACAGCAACAAATGTCGGTAGTCAGCGAGTAAAAAAAAACCTGCACGCGTTTGTATTTGCGCTATTCTTTTCTTGTGTGTTTGTTTGTTAGCGTGGTGGGGCCTGCCGCCGCATCGACAGACGGTCATCAATACATTCATACCCAGCTATATACATACTCGTACACACTTGCTTACATGTTTATACCTCTGGGGCTGCTTGTATCAAAGGTAAATATAAATGAGCAATACCAACAAGTACATTTGTGAAACTTTCCTTGCGTGGGTGCCCCTACATAATATTCGATGCACTTGCACGCTTTTGTGCAGGACTACTCTATATGTATGTATATATGTGTGTGTGGACAACTTTTGTTGGCAACTTACAGAGTTAGTTCTGCTTTAAAGTAATTCATATTTGTATTCCTAATACTTGAACACATAGATATGTATATATGTATGTATCTTATTGACTGCAAAAGGTAGCTTTACTTACATATGTATGTACATACCTACATACATATTATGTATGAGTATGTTTTTGAATTGGCTGTGCACACACATCTGGATGGACATACAAAATCATGTGTTTCCACTTGGGTCTTTTGCTGTTGTTGTGTTGTCGTCTTTCATTGTAGATTCCTGGAAAAATCATAAAAACAAAAGCAAAAGAATTTCGACTGCAATAGCATGAACAGGAACAACAACACGATCATCACTCTCCCTCGCGTACACATGCATACATACATGCAAGCTTGCATATGTATGCATGCATGAATGTATGTATACATTCTCACACATGTATTTTACTTCTGTGCCCTGATCGAAGAACTACTCTTTATCGCGCTACATTCTCTCCGTGCTGCGTTTACGCGGTCTTGGCGGGCTGGTTCACCTTCTTCCCAAGTCAGAAAAATTAATGGTTTTGTAGGACGTTGTCACCTTGTCCATCTGTGCCTAGAGATATAATGTATCAGTCCGGTTTTGGGATATGTACATATGCGTGTACATGTATTCTTTGCCGTTCGTACGCTATAAATATGTATGTGTGTATAGTGTGTGTATGTGCATTATCAATGCATGATAGTAGAAATACAGTTATTACACTGAAAAGCGATTGTACTGCTTGTGGGGCACCTTGTTATCAAAGCGCCCAAATGGATCAGTACAAACGCGGTCGACTGCGCATTGAAGCTCTAAAGTGTAGTGCCGAGTGCAGCGTTGGTGGCCAATAAATGTTAAAACAACAAAATAAAAAAGCAGTGGCAGCAAAATTACTCAACCAAGGGAAAGGTTAACAATTGAATTTTCCAGTAAGGATATTGTTTTATAAGGATTGCAGCAGAATATATAGATGTATGTATGTACATACATACATATGTATGTACATACATATTAGTATTTTGTAAACACCGGCCTGCACATTTTGCATTTCTATTTAGGAGAGAAGCTAAGGCAAGCTTACTTTTAAGTTAACTTTACTTGAGAAAGAATATTAAAACTGTTAGAATTATGCTCATAATTTTTCTACTTTAGTTTTGCTTAACGCAAATATTTTTTCTGGGCTTTAACGGTTTCTAGTTAATTGAGCACAATCTTTTTATAATTTTATATCTGTGCAGCCAACTGTCTCCCAACCCTCTAAGGTATTTTCTATAATCATACATATGTATATACATACATATCTATATACAATGTACATGTGTAAAAAATGTACTGTGTACTAATGTATTTATTTGTTTGTTTATATTTATTTTATTGCATTCCCGCTAATGTAGATAACTTTTCAAGATTTCTTGGCGTATACATACATATATATTTGTTTATACATACATACATATACCTATCTAAACTTTTGCGGTACTTTTTGAAAAAGTGAAAATTTATAGCTGTATACTTATACATACATACACACGTAGGTATATGAAGATACATATGTATATGTACATAAATGAGTGTATCAGGCGAATTTAGTACATACGCCTATTTATGAATTTGCTATATTGAGGCGAACTGTTGACCATTATGTATCCGTTTTTGTTTCTTTATAAAACATAATATTCCTACGCTTCTAAAATGGTATAATTCATATGCACATCTGGTTCAGACACTAGCTGCGACCACTCGATAAATAGCTCTAATCTGGCCATTTCCCTTGGCAATTTTATTTGCTGTTCATGTTAATCATAAGCTAAAAATGCAATTTGGCATTTTGTTGTTTAGTATACAGACAGACTGCTCAGCTTTGTGTGGGAAGTTGCCGCGAGTGTATGGCTCTCTTATGGATATTACTGATTCCTACACAAACAGAGTATCACGCTTGTATATTATGTATGGTATGTATGTATACATACACGTACCTATGTATGTAATTTTAAAATTGTATAAATGGGAATTTACAGCGTGTGCTCTATTCTTTGAATACAAATGAAATAATATTTTTGTGCAAAAGGAAATAAGGGCTATACCCATCGAGTTTTATCAAATTTGCATCAAAATTTTGTTATTGCTATACAAAGTACTTCACTTGATACGAGCATTAAGGAAGGATTTTATAATTAGACAAATTGGTGATGCTTTCACATAATTGGAATGAACCAATCAGAGACCAAACGCTTTGTATTTTAATTTTCGTAGAATTATTCAACGACGTCAATGCAAAACATGTCTTCATGACGTCTTCATACTCTTGGCCGTAAGAGGCGTTACGTTTGAAAACGTAAAGCTAAAAAATAAGAAACTAGATGTTGCGCTTTGTGCTGTCCATGTTATTATTTATTTTGTTTCGTTTGTTTACTTTGTCTGACAACGCTGACCCTCTTTCCGCCTCTCTCTCCCTCGCCATATACCGACCAACAATTCTGGCACGTTTTTAACCCATTAACGTCACAACGCCCGGTGCTGAAACTCTTTTATAAATGCCGTTGATTGTGGTGGAGTGCCTATCCCAAAACGACCCTCCGGTTGACATTCATATTTTTTGTTTGCAAAATCGAGTGTTTCATTTCATAATATAGTATCAGAGCGAATAAATAGTCTTATTTATCCCACCCTACTATATACCAGAATTGCTCTTGCAGTACGGGTTTAATATTGGAATGGTTTGGACTTTTTTTTACAAAATACTTCGTCATACTATCGGCTATCGCATTTTCCTATTACTATTATTTGCTAAGTTTTATTATCAATATATGTGTTTACATTTTGTGGTTGTGGTCTGTGCGAACCATTCAATTTTGCTGAATACAAAAATAAAATTTGCCCTATTTAGATTGACCAAAACCCCCATATGTATTTAATGACCCTTTTGTTTGATAAATTTGTATGTATATACCGCGCATATGAATTAGTTTTTTCAGTTTGTTGCTCGACTTAATAATAGATTGTGTTGTTGTTTGCTCGAAACTAATTATTCCATGTGAAATCTGTTTGCGGAAAGTTGTACCTTATTTGCATAGTTTTAGCATTAGCTCGTTCACAGAAATAGTTTAGTTTTCCTAACCACAATATAAACTACGCAAGTTCAACGATTTATATCAAGTCTAGTAACAGGTTAATTTCAGAAACCAAATATTTATGATTGCAGTAGAGATGGGTATGGGCAGAATTTTTTCGGAAGAGATACATATTTAACTTTAAAAACCAGCACGAACGCTCACGACTTAAATTTAGCGGTACATATAATCATCCCATTAAGTAATCGTCAATTTTTATACTCTGTACATCAAATGTACAAGAGTATATTAGGTTTGCGGGAGGTGAATAATGTAACAGGAGAAGGAGGCGTGGCAGACCCCACAAAGTATATGTATATTCTTGATCAGTATGGCAAGACGAGTCGATCTGTATGATCGCTTAGATCTCAGAGACTAAGAGCTAGAGACACCAAATTTTTCACAAAGATGCCTTATGTGTGTACTCTATACGAGTTTGTTTTCTTTCTTTGATTTTCCCCCACTTTCCCCCTATGGGGGTTTCTCTGTAACGTCATTCGTATAATCGTCTATACCTCAGAGACTATAAGACCTAAAATTGACATTAAATTTGAAGTCCAAGATGCCTTATGTGAATACCCGCAGCTGTTGTTGATGTTGCTTTGGTTGACTGCAAACATGCTCACACAGACACGAATAGACATGCACACTCACAGATCGAATACCGAAAGAGGTAAAATGGATCAAATTTTTTTTTAAATTTTCTTAATTTTTTAATTTTTCTTATTATTCTAAACATATGTACGGAGTATTTCAAAGTCGGGACACCCGACTTAAGCTTCTCTACTTGTTATATCTATCTATTATATATAGTTTTAGATGTGCTTTTTGAAAAGAAAGTGAGTTTTTTCGTGCTATTCTGGTTTTTTTCTTGATTGCCCCTCGTGTTTTACGTGCCTTTTGGACACGATTTGGGATTGTAACAAGTGCCAGGATTGAAAACATGATATCTGCTGTGATGTTGTATACTATTTTATAGACTATGGCTATATACATATATTACATATATTCGCAAACGTTTGCATCTAACAGATAAGAAGGGTAGTTAGCTCACGCGTGTCTTAAATTCAAGTACATACATGCAATATCCTTATTCCAATTCCGTTTTATGTGACGATATATTGTGATAAAATATCAAATAGGTCTTTACATTGTTTCAATTATTTATTGTGAACTAACCTGCGAACATCTAACTAGTATTAGAATTTACGTTTGGCTATCAAAGTCCGAAGTCAACTCGAGCGACTCAAATCTATCTACTCAGATTAAATTTATGGCAATTCCATAAGAAAAAAATAAACAAACACAGTGTCGTTGGCGAATGGCGTCTGCTTCGATGTTATACGAGAGGTACGAGTACACAGGTACGACTTCGCATAGTTTGGTGTTGCATTGCACTTAAAAACTGTTGCACACAACTCAAGGTTACGTGTTGTGGGAACCATTTCTTCCGAAAACTACCAAGTTATTTCGCTCAGGCTAAGGTCGTTTTATCATTTGAGTAACCTAAGGGTATATAGTCCATAATGACTTTTATATATGCTTTATTATAATGGTTTGTTTTCACTTCCCGAGATTTTTTGCAACTACAAAACTATAATACATTTACAGTAACTTTTGTTAGCTTTTCAGTAGTTTTCTACATACATGCACAAGTTCATTTAACCGTGCTCCATAAAAAAGTGCAACCTTCTTCAGACTTTTTGGCCTGACTTTGCATATTAGGCAGCTAATTATAAAATTCTGAAACCTTGAACTACTGAGCTAAACAATGAAAATGAAGAACAAATAATCGAGTGTAGAAGCCTGCTTAGAGAAATCAACATACTACTTGGGAAGCAAGTCAAGCAAAGGAACAGACAGACAGGCAGAGAGAAGAAATGACTAACGATCACAGTTACCTGCGGTTGCACTTGCCTGGCCACATCTTCGTGATGGTGATGCTTACTGAAACGTACATCCGATTGGTGGCTCCAGAGTATATTCTAGTTTTCTTCTTATGTTATAGCTGTTTCTTGTTTGTTGTGTATCTGTGTGTCAGTCATCAGATCTTTATCTAATGTTGTTGCCGTTGTAGGCTCTTCTTTTTGTTTTCTTTTGGGCCAGCGTGCCCGGTTTCCCGCTCTAACCAGCCGCTTAAATTTGTTCTTCGCATTTAGTCTGTTCTCTCCCTCTTGTTGATTTTTTCCGGGGAACTACGAAAATTAGCGTATCGACCACTAAAGTAAACATGGTGCGTCTTTGTTTATTTTACGGTCACGTTTTAGTATTTACCTCCAAAGCAACGTAGTCTCTGGGACAATGTCGCAGTTCCTGCATGTAGAAGAGGAGCGGAGCTAAGTCTAAGCCTCTAGCCTTCATGCAATGCATAAATTCTGTAACACAAGTGTACGGTGAATTGAATTCTCCTGATTAAAGCTTGCTATTCACTATTATAATCATTTTCCATAAAATAATAAACGAATATGATCTTATACTATTAAGTGTATTTCATTAAAGTGTAAGCTTATAGAGAATGGCGACAGAAGGGCAGGTTTCTCGTGGGTTTACACATTGAGCTGCCGCCTAATACAATAAACACAGATATTGGCGTCTCCTACGGATTTGGTTCGGCGGCTGTCTCACTAGTTTTCTCCGTGGTCTATTATGATGTAAACTTAAAATAATTACAATTATTAGATGGCGACAAAAGAAACGGTTGAAAAGTCATCGAGTAGTAATATTCGGAATGTGAAATGAAACAAGTTTTCACACTAACCATTAAAAATAATTCTTATGTGGCTGCCATGCTACGAGTACCAAGCAATATCTGCTCATAAGGAAAATATTTCAACTTTCCGAAATGGTTCATGGTTTTGCAAGTGTTGTAGGCGCTTATGAAATGATAATTAAAGAAGTGAAAAGGGCAAAACTTGAAATAACTGCGTGGGGGGAGAGTGATTTAGATTAAAGTCTTTGAGGACAAATATAAGGAAAGAGGGATTAAGAGCATTGAGAAACAATAATTTTTTTTTTTTAATAACCGAAGTTGGAAAGCGTTCTTTTCGTAACTCCTCCCATTCTTCCGATTCATTATTTACTGAATATCTCCATTCATTGGCAATTTAATTCGAATAATACATAACATGTATGAATGTGCATTAAATATAAAACATTTCATTAATGCTTTGTGATTAACCGATATATGTGATTAAAATTATTTCTCATTACATCATTTTCATACTGAATTTGTTGTCTGCTTCCATTGGTCCCTAGGAATGTGAACTAACTTGAGTTACCGTAGCTAGAGTATCACTTACAATATTTCTTAAACTAAATACATAATTAAACATATGCCTATGTATTTTATTTATAGTTTTTCAAACCGTAATCTTGTTGATTAATTCATACTAAATATTGCGTGCGTTCATTTTATGGATGGCTCATTTGCTTTTGGATACTTGCCGAAGAAAGGCCAAGACATAAACTCATTACCGCGTTCCAAGCACAGGCCACCGAATACATTGTAACATGCTTTAAAAAAACCGCCAATACCACAATAAACAAACATCAAAATCGCGATTCATTTGACTAAGCCTTACCATCATTGCCCTGATCGTCATCTACATACGCTAGCGCTCGCACTCCCGCTCACATCCATTCACCCAGCATCCACAACAAACCCAATCAATATGAGTTTGTGGAAACGCATTTCGAGCCATGCCGATTGTGAGCAACGCATGGCAGCTTACTACGATGAGAAAGGGCTGCTCGACTTGCGTCTGTCTCTGGCGCCCTGGATTGAAGACAGAATAATGTGAGTAGAGTGGGAATGTTACAGAAACTTCAGGCTTTATAACACTATGCAATGAAAATGTGAACCAAATTTTTATCGTACGTAAAGAAACTTTATGCATTTGTCAATTTGCATCAATAAAGCAAGAATATGTAATAGCTGTTAACTTTTTTATTTAGTCTGGAGACTTCTATTTATAATTTGTTGTACGGTGTAGTTAACATCTAGCGCCAAGTTTACGAACTCGCATGCTGATGTTGACTTCAGATGAACTCATTAGGCATGCAAAACAACGTCGCGTCTGATGCCGTATTAATGGCTGAATCAGTTATGTAAATGAAATGCCAATGAAATTATATGTGTATATGTAGAAATTACACAGGTTAAATATTCCTTATAATTTCTTCCCGTTGTCTTGTTCGTAGGTCAGAGCAGCTAACACCGAGCTCCACCGATCAGTACGAGCGTATCGCTTTAAAGTTCAACGAAGATCTTCAACAGAAATTACTGTCGACTCGCACGTCCAGTGACCAAACCCTTAAGTATCGCATAGTTGAGCTCTGCGCGCTTATCCAACGAACGCCCGCCGTTGAATTGTACACTTACCTACGTAGCGGTCTGCAAAAGGAGCTGCAGTTAGCCGCTGAGAAGACCGTAGTTTCTACGGGTTGCCAATCATCGATGCCGCTAAATCCGTACATGAACATGAACAACACAGCGGCCGGCCTGGCCATGGGCAGTGCATACATGGACACCAGTGAGGGATTGGGTGCTGTTGTCGCCCCTGGTGTAGTGGCACCCGGTGTTGTGGGACCCGGTGTAAGTGAGGTTATGCACAATGGCAGCGTCACACCTATGCCGGTCAGACCCAAAATTGAACTGTACAACGTTACCGTTGAAATACAGCGCTCTTTTAACGATTTCATGCAATGCGTTAAGGCGCTAAACATGCTATCCCAAAGCTATCATTATGTACTGAATCAACATAACAATCCCGATGCAGAGGCTACGTTTAAGCGCTGCATCGAGGAGAAGGGCAACATAGTGGCTCTGCTACGACGATCTTTTATGTGCTATGAGTTTCTGCAGGATCTGGTCATTACAGAACTGAAGAATTGGCGACGACAACAGGCGCTGGCCGGCAATGGTGCGCCTTTTAATGAAACAACGCTAGATGAAATACAACGTTGCTTTGAGCAGCTGGAAGTGTTCGTCACTCAGCTTCTTTCCGCCGTTAAAGAAACAATTGCCGTGCGCCTGATGAATGCCGAAGATATTGAATTAACTCAATTGCTAGAGCAGATTCAGTGTGCGCAGAAAAATCTCGTCTGTTCGGCCTTTATCGTTGATAAACAACCACCGCAAGTTATGAAAACGAACACCAGATTTGCAGCCTCAGTTCGCTGGTTGCTGGGCTCGCAATTGGGCCTACATATGAATCCACCTACAGTCGAGTGCATCATCATGTCGGGTAGGAATATAATTTTGTACTTACTTCAGTTGATTTTAAAATAAGTTGTTCTTGATTGTTACAGAGTTACAGGCACAACGCTTTGTTTCCAAACGGACACATGAAGGCTCCAATTGCAATTTGGGTGGGCAATCCTCGGGCGAAATCCAAAACTGTGCCAGTGCTATGGAGTATCAACAGAATACACACGTTTTTTCTGCCGGCTTTAGAAACATGCAGTTAAAGAAAATAAAACGCGCTGAGAAGAAAGGCACGGAAAGCGTCATGGATGAAAAGTTCGCTTTGTGCTTTTTTGCAACAACAACTGTCAACGATTATCAGATACACGTGTGGACATTATCACTGCCTGTGGTGGTAATTGTGCACGGCAACCAAGAGCCACAGTCTTGGGCCACTATCACGTGGGACAATGCCTTTGCGGACATTGTACGGGATCCCTTTGTGGTGACAGATCGAGTCACTTGGGCCCAACTTTCCATCGCTTTAAACACCAAATTCGGATCAACAACACAGCGCGCCCTGACTGGCGAGAATTTGGATTTTCTCTGTGAGTGCCACTGCGTTACTTGCATAGCCTATTCTAAAAATTGTTACTATATCTTGATATATACTTCATTAGATGAAAAATTGCAGCGCGATAACGTGGCGGGCGAATATATATCTTGGAACCAGTTTTGTAAGGAGCCGCTTCCGGATCGCAATTTTACATTTTGGGACTGGTTCTTTGCCATCATGAAATTAACTAAAGATCATTTACTCAGCATGTGGAAGGCCGGCCGCATTACAGGCTTTATTAATAGAGCTAAGGCTCAAAATGATCTCATGCAAGCTACCACCGGCATAGGCACATTTCTTGTACGCTTTTCCGACAGTGAATTGGGTAAGTCTGATGGTTTGTCTCACTGATTAAAGAGAAATTCACCGATAATTAATTTTTAAGGTGGCGTGACCATAGCCTACGTTAACCAGTATGGTACAGTGACCATGGTATCGCCCTGGATTGCTCGCGATTTGCAAATAATTAACTTGGCAGATCGTATACGTGACTTGGATGCGCTGCGTTGTTTACATCCTACAGATGTTAATGTTCAGCCGTTGGATCGCGATTCTGCCTTCGGCGAATTCTACACAACCCGCGATGGTATATACAGTGTTAAGTCATTAGCGCTCTTTTTTCAAAAAATAGTTGCTTTGGTTTAGTTTCAATATTCACGTATGGCACTATACAGCATTAGTAAGCATCGGTAGAAAGAAATTTCTTTTATTATATTTAAAGATTAGTGGATTTTCAAAAATATAATTCACCTTTGCTTGAAGGAATTATTCATTTAGGATTATTGTTCCCTTCTCTTGCCTCTGGATTGGCATTAGTTTGTTTAGAATATTCAATTTAAATCTTCATTATTTTATTTAAGATCTGTCTCCTAGGTTTGACAATTATTAAATTTTTATAACTTTCTTAAGTTTGTAATCATACTTCTTGTCATGATTTTGCGGCGTGATTTGAACCGAGTACCCTCGAGGAACGAAATCACATTGTGGGGTTAAGCTATGTCAGGCCTTAGAACATTCAATTGAACTAATTTAAAAAGTATGGAACTTTGAAGTGGGTTATAATTGACCTAGGCCGAGCATACAGGGTGCGCCATCTTTTATGTCGGCATGCAAACACTGAATAGCCTTGTCATTAGTGAACCGATTGACTTGAGTAGACCAGTGTTGAAAACCTCAGTTCAAGAAATTGTACAGAACCAAATTAAATACAAATATGTCATACTTGAAAATCGGTTGTTTATTTTCAAAGATATTCAACGCCCACACACCGACATAAAAGATGGCGCACCCTGTATTTTGGGCGCTGTGCCTGCTTTTGTTGACATCTTGTAATGTTTATATTTTTTACTTTTTCAGAGGAAAAACCTCGGAGCGATGGCTACGTACGTACCAGCGTGCACGTGCGTACTGGCGATGACACTGGCTCCATCAGTGGTACACCCCACCATCCCATGCAGTCGCCACATCAGGACAGCATGTCGATGCCAAAGTAAGTTTTTCACGGCCGTACACCCGCATTATATTTTGTCAATTAACTAAATTTTACCTAGCACTTCAGCACATTTGCTACAAGTAACCCCCTAGTACATTCGCAGTCGCTGAAGTCTATTTTCTGTTGTTTATTTTGCTAGAATTATTATTTTTATTGAAATTGAAAGGATCCCCGAGTTTAATTAGATTGCAATACTTTGAACTTTGTTAAAGCCTAGTGCTCATACCTACAACTTTTGTTTCCACTGACTAATCCCAACTAATGAATATCCGATACTAATATGTGTTGCTTCGCAATAGTTTAAATATGTATTTGAGCTAACTCTTTCTATTACAAGAACTTATTCTATTTGTATTTTTTATATTTTTACTTTTACGTCTTGTTTAAACCGCGTATTGTCGTCAGCCTCTCACCGATTGGGGGAGTCGTGTGGCCAACCACGGATGATTCTGATTCAGATGATAGCTTGGTGGCTGAAACTATCGAGAGTATTGTCATGAATACCCCGCTAGATCATCCACTAGTGTGTCAGATCAGTAATACGATATTCAATGTGTGCAAAGAGCGGGAACGGGTGATGGACACTGACCAGATACAGTACGCTGATCATTACGGAGAAAATGCCTGTACATCACCTTTCAATCAGACGGTTCTAAATCAATAAAGGAGAGGGAGAATTTTCTTGAGTGTGTTGTGCTGCTTTTCTGAGGTACAACACCTATCCTATCATTAATGTGTATATATCGTAGTACGGATTTAACAAATTCGATGTGATCTGTGGGTGCACTATTAACTCTTCACATGTCAATACTCGTTATATACTCGTATTCGTACTCGTATGTGTTGCAAACATACCCATTACATAAGATGTCCAGCAGATCTAACATCATTCGAAGCTTTCATTTTTGTACGCCCAAATCAATGGTCATATTCATTGCACCCAACGCCACAGCATCACATCACCCGCCTCTCTCCACCCGCCACTCGTCACTCGCCAAACGCCATCCATTAGATGAAATATTTCTAACTAATTTTCAAAGCCCTCTAGGGTCGTAACGCACAGGGAACACAAGCGGACATTCGCTTTAAATTTTATTTAAATTTTTGTCTTGTCTTTCTCTTTGTCACATTTGGTACTTCAAAGTATTGCCTTCTTCTTGAACTTCTCGGCAGCAAAATTACGTATATCTTGAAAAACATATTGATGCTAACACATTGTATTTCTATTTTTGATTCTTTACAATTGTCACAGCTTACAGAATAGCACCATCATGCACCTGTAAATGCTTGTAGGCTGGCTTACTAAGAAAGAACGACGCAGACCTTTAAACGAATATATTGTTAACGCAGGGGCTAATTTCAAACAAAACTATAAAATACTTTTACCGTGTATTGCATGCATTTATAATTCGTGTTAATTGTTGTTACATATTTGCGTAATTACATAAATTGATATGTGCATGTGCACTTCTTTAAATGAGCGGGGTTTTACAATTTGGAACGATTTAAAACGATTGCAGTACGGACTGGAGAATACTTCAGGGGAACACATAATACATTATATAGTACATCACAATACAAGAACTCATTGTAAAGAGAGACCACCGAACTTTGCAGTAAAAAAGCTTACTAGATATTATATACTATATATTTGTAAAATTGCACACATCAATCCGTTTTTGCTTCTCTTCCCACCTCTTTCATCGCTGTAATTTATGCCCGCATGTTAATAACTTCAACCTTATTTACATCATATTCACATATTTACGGCATAAGATTTTGTTTATTTATCCACAATTACGATTATTTTTTCTCTCTTTTATTTTCGCCTTTTTAGTGGTGATTTTGGAATGACGGATTTTGATTCAATTTCGAACTTTGACGTATACAAAATTTAAAAGAAATGAAATATATATATATATATATATATAAATATATATATGTATATATAAATAAATATATAATAAATAAATATTAATGTATTCATAAATAAATATGTTACAATGATACACAAACACAACACGTCGGACGTCCAATGTGCAGATGATAAACGCCTTCAAGTTACGACGCTACCCTGATCTTTGTGAATTTATTTTTGCATCATCTTACTTTGTTTGCATAGTTTAAATTTATTAATTGATGTTGGAATTTGTTCTTCTGGCATGTTCTGCGGTATGTATTCAACTAGAATTTTAATTTCTGTTGTTTCTGTTTTCGATATGAACTATATATTTCTGGTTGTGACTACCGAGTTAATGTTAAAGATGTTTTAATTAGTCTTAAAAATAAGAACAATAAAGTTAAATAGTATTTACATACAAATACGCAACGTACAAACGAATTTATTCATATACATACACGTACATACATACGTACAAACAAACATACATGTATAATGTATTTTTAATGTGAACAACTATTGAGAGTGCTTATATAGATATGGTTATTAAACGGTTTTCAATGCCCAACGACTTGATTGATAGCTGAAATTGACAAGAGACGGTTAAAAAGATGAGTTAAAACTGACTGCTATATAAATATATACATAGGTAATGGAATTACTACGAATTTACGCGTTGATCAATGTGTTTTATGCTAGCATTCACTTGTAACTTATTCGCTTTGAAAAATGTTGTTAATATTATCGTATTACAGGGTCTGATATTTGTGTATTTATATGTGGTAGATAAACAAATTTATGAGAACATATACATACGTATACATATTATTGTTATGTAATTGTACTAAAGATTTGTTTCCGTTCTTCCCCCCTACAGCATATTTGTGCAATGCCATACACTATCCAACAACCACAACATCAACAACAACAACAATGCATGCAACATCTTGCAACATCTGAACACAACACTCCCACAGTTAGGACATAATTCCTATCTTTGATTTATTTGTTGTGTATGAAAGATCGGCATGTGTCCGTGTGTGTGCGCCTTGAAATTGATTTTAACTATGATAGCATTATAATGCCGATTCAGTTGTGCGTGATGGTTGAATATCAAAATTTGTTTTTTATGTTTAATTAAATACTTTGATTTACATTTCTTAGATTCTTTAAGTTAAAATGTTATATAATAATGTTACATTTAGTAAATTAGAACTTATTCAAACGACCAGCATATACAATTTGCTAAAAACAAATTCTAAGTTTCGATTTATATATGTAGTAGTATTTCTTTCTGTAAAAACCCTTTCATTGGCTTCCATGTAAACATAATTATGTTTTATTCATTTGAATTAGGAAAAAGCTTAAATTGCATTAGAAATGCTCCTTTTTCGTTTTTTTTTTTTAGTCATTATAACGATAAACGTGAGCTGTCAAAGAAAGATATTTTTTGTATTGCCTAACTATTAAAATATACACAAACTTTAAGAGTTTAAAATTAGATTAAGGTAAACGAGTTAATTAAACGACGAACTATTTTTTGTGTATTGAAACGTTCAAAAACGAGTTCTGTTCGACGAAACTAAATTTGATGTGTACGTGTAAAACATAAAGTGAACATACAAGTTTAAATGTTAAAATGTTATTTCCACGCACACATTCCTTTACATCTGACATACATATGTAAAGCTCCGTGCAGAAACTGATTATTGATTATCCACACTGATTAAATTAAATGGAGTGTTTTAAATGTAATTTTATTCTCATATCGCAACTAAAGGTTTAAATTCAATGGAGATAGATGTTGAAAACGAACTAAACATACATATTCTTGTCAAAATGGCCAATAAAGATTTATTTTAAAACCTATGCAACTGTAATTTTGTGATTTTATTAATCGGGAAGCTATTTAAAAACGCTCGTGAACTGCCGGCCGATGAGATCGTATTGTTGCGCGGCAACGCGATCTGGCTACACCAAATGGCGACAATGTAGCTGTCGGGTAAATATACATGTGGCAACTCTAACATGGCCACGCCACAGAGCTTTCTGTGATGGCATACCAGAGAGTAGAGCTGCAAAATAATCGATGTTGGCAGCATCGATCTTTTACGATTAATCGCTATTTTTTCAAAAATAAAATAGGTTAATCGTTAAGGAAGAAAAATTAAATTTTATTTTTAATGAGATCAATTTTATTAATTTAGCCATTGGTTTTTGTTTGTAAACAGCAACTGGTAACAATAAACAATAAACGGTTTTAAAGCGGCGTGTCTGTCAGAGGATGCATCCCGCCTTACTGAACATGCGTTCAGACGCAGTGGAGCATGCTGGAATGCACAAATACTTAAATTTTTAAAGTATTGCATCTCATGCATATGTGTCTGAAATTTGCAAAAATATAATTAGCAGTTAAGTTTTTATGTAGATACCACAAGTATTACCTTCCAGTATTCCAATGGTGGTGTGCCCTGCAACTCGTGAGGTTTTTCTAAGAATTGTCTCACTAATATTATACCATCTGCTTGCGGGGTTCTTGATTGTTTTTGTGCTATTTTGTCCTGCACAAATGCATAAATTTGCGATGTTTTAGTGCTTGGATAATCAGGATGTGTTGGTGGCTCTTCGATGTCGGGAGTCGGATTTCCGTATGAACTACAAGCTGCAATTTCATTTTTCAAAAAACCTGCTGCGTCGGCGGTGGAAGAATAACCGAACCCTTCTTTTTTAAATCTTGGGTCTAAAATCGTTGCAAGTTGAGTTACGTTTCGATTTTCAAAAGGTGCAAGGCGATGATTAACTCCATCTATCAAAGAGTTGTAGGTTTTTATTCCTTCCGCTGTCCTAAGTGCCAGTTTTGCATTGTGTAAGCAATGGTATAGATCAACTATAGTCGGAATTATTTCGGAAATTGTAACTGTGCTGCTCGAAGAGACCCGGGTGGTTGCAGTGTCAAAGGGCATAAACAAGCAAACTAAGTCCATTATATTTATGTCATCCGCAGTCAATGGATGAGGTGCTTTTAAAGTACTAAGAAGCACGGAAGAAATGTTACTGTTTAATTTTATAATTCTTTCCATCATCTTGAATGAGCTGTTCCATCTCGTGAGTACTTCCTGTATTAGGCTAAGGGGGTTTTCATCATTTTGGGCGGCTTTTAATTTTGCATATGCAATAGAACTGCTTTTAAAAAAGGTCACCTTTTCGCTTGCATCTTGATAATGTGCCTGTTATAAAATCTCGATCCAATACATCCTGAATTACAAGGTTTAGGCTATGTGCAAAGCATGGCAAATGCCTTTTCTTCAGAATTTCACAAACTTTTATCATATTTGCTGCATTGTCCGTAACAATAGTAGAAGTTTTATGTAAAATATTCCAATCCAATAGTACTGCACGCAAAGAGTCAGCTATGTTATTACTTGTGTGATCGGTATCAATATCAAGTTTGTTCGTTGATAAAACAGCTTCTCTTAATGCAAAGTAACTGTGACATAAAATTCATTCGCCCGCGATGGCCAACCATCCGTTGTCACGGTACAGTATTCTACGTTATTGAGGATCAGAACAAGTTTTTCTTTCATTTCGTTGTACATATTTTGTAGATTTCTCAAAGTTGTCCTACTGAGCAATATATACCTTGGATTAAGGTAATGAACGAAATCACGAAATCCACGATCTTCAACAATACGAAAGGGTTGCATATCGATGGCAATCATGCGGGTTAATGCTTTGTCAAGCTCCTTTTTATGCGCGGAATTGTTTTCATAATAATTGTTTGAACTGAAGAAAGTTCCCTTACACTTGCCACTTTTCTCCACGGACTCGTCAACTTCCTTGATATTATCTAAAAACAAAAATTAAATAGAAAATGTAAATAGTTGTACCGCTAAAGGGTTTACATACAACAAGAAAGGAATGCTAAAGTCGAGCAGGCTCAACTCTTAAATACCCTGTACCACCCCACAAAAAAGTAATTTAATTAATTAATTAATTAAATTAAATTAATTAACTAAATTAATTTAATTAATTAACTAAATATTAACTAATTAAATATAAAATATTCCATGCATGCATACATACATTTACATTTACATCAGAATCGTGCCTTATGCGTGTTTGTGTACTTGTACATATGTATGTATGTGTGCATTGGGCCTGGTTATATGGCTATAACTTTCTTTCCGATCATTTTATCATAATGAAACTTGGTATACGGATATATAATTACTAACCTAATGTGACTACCAAATTTTAGCTCAAAATTCCAAGAATTACGGGAGTTATAGAAAATCAGTAATAGGGGGGGAGTGGGGGGGCGGATCAGAAAAAATTAACAAACTCGTCCTTTCTCGGTCTCAGGAGAATCTGTATACCAAGTTTGGTTATTCTAGCTCTTATACTTTCGGAGATCCTTGCGTTCATACAGACAGACAGACAGACGGACAGACGGACAGACAGACGGACAGACGGACATGGCTATATCGACTCGGCTTGTCATGCTGATCAAGAATATATATACTTTGTGGGGTCTACCAAGCCTCCTTCTGTGTGTTCCATGTGCACTCGCACAAAACTAATATACCCTTGTACCCTTTGGGTACAGGGTATAAAAATATATCAATGTAAATAGTACACACACAATAATGCAATAATTAATTAAAACTAAGCTGCGTTTATGTGCACAGAAAACAAAAATCATGCGAAACAATCGTATTTATTTTGCACATATGTATATACAATAAGATAGAACGATACAGTCGAGCAAGCCCGACAGTAAAATAGCCTGTACTCTCCACAAAAAGGACAAATTAAAAAAAAAAAAAATTTAAAAAAAAATTTAATTATTAAAAAAATGAATGAATGAATTAATTAAATTAAATTAGAATACATGTTTATGTTCAGTTTAAACGGCATACATTTACATCACGTACCTATGCGTGTTTATATGCGTGTATGTATGCAGCACAAAGTTGAACCAAAGCAGCAACAACAACAACAGCTGCGGGCAGCGCTGCCGACAGAGCTGCAGGCAGCGCATGAGCAGCGATTTTACTTATGGCTATAACTTTCTTCAAAATTGACCTATCATGATGATTTGGCACACGGACACATTAGTACTAACTGGATGTACCTACCAAAATTGATTTCAAAATTCCGAGAATTACGGAAGTTATAAGAAAAAATACGAATTGCGGGGGAGTGGGGGGGGGGGGGGTGTATCAGAAAAAATAAACAAACTCGATCTGCCTAGGGCTTATAGGAACCTTGATACCAATTTTGGTTATCCTAGCTCTTGTACTTACTGAGATCCTTGCATACAGACAGACGGACAGATAGACAGACAGGCGGACATGGCTATATCGACTCGTCTTCTCATCCTGATCAAGAATATATATACTTTGTGGGGTCTGCCACGCCTCCTTCTGTGTGTTACATAGGCATACAGGCTATAAAAATGTGTGCAGCTTAGCACATAAAATATACGTGTACATACATACATATGTCACATGTCGGCGTGCCCCTCACTGCTTAACTAAATGAGGCATAAATTCTTATCTGATTTCAAAAATTTATCCATTTATCCGTTTCCCTCCTCTTCTCCAAGCCACCAACACACCAATCTAATCAAAAATATAAAAGAAAATGTAATGTATTGATTTATTCTCAACAAATAAAATCGATGCTTAACAAAAATGCTAAACATCGATTAAATCGATTCTGCATCGATTCATTTTGCAGCTCTACCAGAGAGAACAAGCAATGCGGACCTGCGTATTTGCATATATGCATTTTCTTTCCTCCATGGCTTCCTTATAGAAAAAGGTTATATAAAACGCATTTGTGCAATTGGCTCATTGTAACGGATTTCCTGGCTGCATTTAAAATATTCAAAATATATATTGTATTTAGTTATTAAATAGTAACTTAAAGATGAACACTCCAGCTAACAGGCTTAATACTTGGCTGTATCTACTACTACTTTAGTTATTACAAGTAATCTGAATAAACAAATACTTTTTTTTTTAAATTTAAACAAAAAGCACTGTGTTTTATTATTGCTAAATGAAAAATGTATTTGCACATTGTTTCGTCGCTTTGCATTAATCTCTAGTTCTACTCAGCTATCTCAATCAACTTTACGGTTATCCAAAATTATTTTGTGGAATTTTTTGATGTTTTCATCGGTAACCGCCTCTTTGGTGCGTCCACTGAGTGTATCGTCTTCGGTGCTCATTTCGCCCCGCTTAAATTTAGCAAACCACTTCTCAATGGTTGATTTTTCTAGTGCAAAGTCCGAATATTGTTTATCAAGCCAAGTCTTGGATTCAATAGTATTTTTTTTTCCAAAAAGCCATTCTTTATTTAGACACTTAATTCGTATTTAATCAATATTTTCAAACTATCAAAAGTTGCTTCACCTAAAATGCTATAACTTACAAACTAATAGTACGACAGTTGTCAAATTTATACACCGTTCTTTTGAAGATGATGGGTTAGCCTACAAACATTTCAGCCCACCTGTTAGGCATTACGGAAACAATACTGTTAAGAAGTAATTAGTGTCTTATGATGAAGTTGTAAGGCCCAACTGTTTTTTAAGCTAAGGGTAGAATGTTGTCTCGATAATTTTGCTGTAACATTCTCGCTTTTAAATTAAGCACAGAAAAGAGTATTTCCTATTTGTTGATTCTTCTGAATAATGATTACTATGTTATGACAGCCGTCATTTGGCTCTAGTTAGTAGTTAATTTATAATCTTCCGTGCTTGCCAATGCACAAATCCAACAAAACTTTTGCAAATTTTCAATTTCAGCGAATTTAATGACGTTATGCAGCGGAAATAAAATCGCGTCGTGCTTGCCTGG